CATCGGGATAGTCTTTTCTAGTCCTTGGCGGTCTGCATGCATATTTTTACAGAACTGTAATCACGGTAGACCTACAGCTGATTTATTTTCACGTCCACCCTTCTATCTTTCTACATCGTCTTTCCAAAGTTGTAGGAGTTTTTAAAAAGAGGTCAAAATAAAAGTCTGTAAGCTTCTGATTCCAGGGTGTATCTCACTGAGTTGATGCACTATAATTTATTAAATCATGTCCACCACTGGACATGTGGATGGGTTTTGCTTTTAGCTGTTAGTCTAGAAACTGTTAGAGGAAAAGAAAGGTATCTTATCTTGGTATTCCTAGTATAGCCAGTGATAGTTACTGGATGGATAGAGAAATCCATGCAGTGAACATCTTCAGGCATAATTATTATTTTCTGTTGAATATTTTCCTAGGATTTATTTTCTGGGGATAAGTGAGTCAGAGTATTAATCTATCTATCTATCTATCTCTCTCTCTATCTATGGCATATATATTGCTATATATATATATATATATATATATATGGCACATTATAGCAAATTGTTTTATCAAAAATGGCCACTCCAATATATGTCCCATCTCACATGCTGTGATGAAGGACACCCCTCCATTGAGAGGTGGGGTCTACCTTTCCTTTCTTCCCCCTGAAAGCGATCAGTTCTTTGTAACTATCTTGGTTTCTTCACTGGAGCAGCAGATTCCAGAGAGGTCCCTCAGAAAATACTTCCTTTAGTCCAATTAGACACATACTTTCAGGGAACAGGATAATGGTGCCTTGTGAGTGGATCCCATCAGGGAGGCTGGCAGAGCCTTCTTAGTCCCAGTCCTTATACCTTGCATCACCCAGTATAGTTCCAGCTGTAAGATGCCAACAATTTTGCATCTTACTGAGAAACTAATGGCTTCCCCTACCCTCCTTCATCCCTTACCCCATATGCATCCTTAAAAAAAAATTAAAATCAACTTCAAAGAGCCCAATGAAAAGGAATGGGAATATAGAGGCCCCCCTGCCCTCCCTCCTTCTACAAACTTAGATCCCACTGCCTCTGGCCAGCTTCTTGCTTTTCTTCTCTGCCACTTCCGTGTGAAAAGCACACCCACTGTAAATTCCAGAAAAAGATTGTTTTTCAAATGAATTGTGTCTACTTAACACAATTATTAATTCCGTAAGTTTCTATTGAAGACCTTGGGGAACCTGCAGCTTAAGAGAAGTTCCATCATTTATAGGCGTTCCAAGCACCCACGGGATCAGCAGTTTTTCTTGGTCTCTGAATAATGCCTTTTTGTTACTAGTTTGATGAGGTGGACAGTCAGTCCTGGGGAGAAGGGCCGCTGTGCGGATTCTGCACCTTCTCATGTCTGGGTGGGTTTGTCTTGGGAACTCTGGTTGGCTCTGGCATCACCACTGTCCCAATAAGACAGGGAAAGGGAGCGGAGGGGAGGGAGAGAGAGGAGAGAAACCGGCAATGGAAGTATCTTCTGTCCAGGGCCCTGGTCCCACCTTTGCACCTGGAGCTGCTGGATAGAGTCTGAACACCCATGACCCTGAAATGGAGTAAGTGGGTCGGATGGTGAATGACTACTAATGATTGCTGAATATTAGAAGCGTCTGGGGTCTTTATTTAGAAGTTTGGGGACCTCCCTGGTGGTGCAAGGAGTTTAGCGTCAGCGCTACGAAGCTGTCCGCAACTACTGCAGCACAAGTTCAATCCCCCGCCAGGGAGGGGACCCACATGGCGCAGCAGACCTCTCCTGACTCACTGGCTGCTCCCCTCAGCAGTGTACTTCGTCAGTCTGCCTGTTCTGTTCCCCGCTCTGTCTCTGGTGAATCCTCTCAACCCCCCCACCCCGCACATCTGGCCTGTACCCCAGTTCTTGTATGCATAAATAAATCTTAAAAAAAATACTTGATGTTTTATAAGCAGAAATGTCACAGGAACTTAACTCTTGTTTGTATCAGTTATCCTGTGGTCAAATTGGTTTCCTTATACATCACTTCACTTAAAGCGGCAGTTTCCACCAACCTATGGAAAAGTGAGGCTCACTGCAGTAGCGCTAGCACTGCCCACTATTACACCTAACAAGACAGGCTCAGCAGGGCAAGCCAGAGGCAGCTGCAGCTCCCTCACCAAAAGCAACTACTGGGGTGGGACAGTAGGGAGGTGGATGTGAGGGGAAAGAGTTGTGAGGTGGAAAAAGTAGCAGCTTACTCGGAGAGATACAGCAGTTTAAATGAAAGAGAATTCTCTGGCTACACAGAAAATACCTATGTCTTATTTAAGAGACTGTTCTAGGACAGGACGTTGCCTCTGAGTCCTAGCCCAGGCACTCCATCTAAGTGGAGTCTAACCACCACTTTAAGGTAGTTAACTCCAGGAATTTTCAAGATGGCATTAAAAAAAAAACAACCAACTTTAAAGAACTCATGCAGAATTTTCACTGGAAGCAGAACATTGTAGAGGATTTATTTTTAGGGGCGGTTAACTGGAGATGGAAGCCATCTAACACCTTTTCAAACCGCCGGGCTCTGGGGCTGATGGCTGTGGTTCAGACTCCTGCCAAGTCTCCCTTTCCGAGTCAGCTGGGCTACCCTGCCCACAGGCTGTCCAGTGGATGATCCCCTTCCCCACTAGGAACACAGGGGCCTTTCTTTAGAGTTGGAGCTCAGTGAGCTGATGCCTGTATTCTCGGCCAAAACTACCACAGAGTTGCTGATCCCAGTCTCCACACCATGTGTCTGGGGAAGAATCATGCCTGGCTGCTGGTCCTGAGAAAACAAAGTGTCGCCCCCAACAGAGCAGATCACCACCTTCTGACTTTCCTCCTACGGGATGCAGTCCATGAAAGCAGAGTGTGATTCAGGGTTGTTATTTTTCCTTCTAGTTTAGAAACGGGAAAGGAAGGAGACGGTGTTTTCTTGGCATACCAGAGAGCCCGGCCTTCAGGCTCCAGTGTGGTACTATATCCTGACCAGACTGCCTTTGAAATACTCATTTTGGTTTAGGGGCATGAGAGGATTTATTTATTGCTGTAAATATCATCCATGACAGCCCTGGTTTGCATGTGAATTTGCTATGAATCTTTTGGGGTAGCTGCTGTCCTAGGTGGACAGAGGTCCAGGTGCACCTGGGGTTGCTCTCCTCGAGGCACTCCCTGCAGGATTGGACTCCTCTTCCTAATCCCGACTGAGGGGCCACTTTGGGCAGAATTCGTAACTCGTCTCACCCTAGGGCAGTGCATTTCATGTAGTGTGGAATGGAATTAGTGAGGAAAACCCAGGGAGCGAATTGGAGATGTGGCTCAGAGCCTCACCATGCTGCAGGCCCAACAGAAAGTCACTGGCACACCCAGTGAGAGGTGGCGATGTCACCGGGGTCTGAGAGGCACGGGTCCTGATCAGGCAAACTCCTCACACTCTTAAGTGGGCACCTGAGGCCCACACAGATCCCTCCCAGAAACTTTCCTGCCTGAGCGCCCAGTGCTCTGCTGCTTTATCCCTCACCTTCATCCCTGTCCACAGCCCAGGCATGAGTAGGACTGAAGCCACCAGGAAGACAGATGGGCCAGCCGGCCTCTCCTGGGCCCTCACATTGGATGCTGAAGCATCTGGGACAACTTGCTGCAAAGAGAAACAGCCTCACCCCAGGTCACTAAGGAAGACCCCCTGAGTACACAGAATCAGCTGCATCATTTCCCTAACAGCCTGACTTGTTAGGCGGTCCCCCTGCTACAGCTGTCTAGTCCTGGGAACGCTTCCTCCTCCTCAGGCCTAGCCACCAAGGAAAAGCTGCTTGGCTGCTCAAAAGGTGTCCTTCAAGGAAAAGGCAAACCTTTCCCAAAAGGTAGTTTACGTTTTCCTGAACAGCAGCACAGCTCAGACTAGTAAAACACACAGTTCTTTTATGAGGATCAGACAAGAGATGAGAACCCACAGTTAAAGAGACTAATAGTCACTTCTGAGCCCATTCATATGGCTGCTGAGTGCTTTTTCTGTGCCAGAAAAAGGGGCACAGATCTAATCACCCTCGGGGAGAAATGACTGCCAGCTGGAGTGGCCATGACCAGCTCCAAAAAATAGCAGGTTTAATTAGAGGGAAGTCTCAAGGCAGGGGTAGACTGTAGAGGGGCGGGGATATCCCCAGAGAGTGAGCAGGAAGAGCAGGAGGTAGCAAGCAAAGAGACTTGGCTGGAGCCAAGGATTGGGGTGGGTAAGGCTAGCCTGGCCAGATTGTGAGGGCTTTAAATGTCAGCCTAAGGAATTTATCAGGGGAATGAAATGATCAAACAGGTGTTTTAGGAAGACGAATTTGAAGAGAATGTGCAGGATGAATTGGACAATCTGGAAGCATGGCAACAATTAGGAAGCTGTGAGATTAATTAGGCTGTTGTAGTAGTCCTGTGTGAGTTGATAAGGGTGTAAAAGAGCATAGTGGCAGCAGAAATGGAAAGGGACAGCTGCAAGAGACATTGTTAAGAAAGAATGGATGAGCTTCGCAGCCTGATTGGATTGGGGACCCAGGGAGCTCAAGAAATCAAAGATGACACCAGAGTTCTGAGCGTGGGCAACGGGTAGTACAATGAACAGAAAAAGATGTTAGAGGAGGGAGCTGGTTTCAGCAGATGTGAATTCAGCTCCAGATGTAGAGTCTGCAGAAGGATATCCGAGTGAAAACGTCTGACAGGCCACAGGAAATGGGACACAACAGCTCTAGAGAGATGGTACAGTTGGCGATAAACTTGGGAATCAGGGCAGAGGTGATCAATAAAGTTGTGGCATGAATGGGGTCTCCAAGGAAGGGTATACTGCGAAAGAGGACAAAGCCTGACCATGAGGAATGTCCATGTTTCAGGAATTTATATCACAGAGATGACCTGGGAGTGCCATCCACATGTCGCAAGTCTTCACCATGAAGACATCAGTGTAAAGTGTATATAAGTTTGGGAAAGCCAAGCAACACAGTAGTTTTTGTTTCATCAGGAATTAAATGATAAACACCTAAATATGCCCCTAAAAAAAATTTGGTGTATTTTGGTTGTCTGCCTGTTCTGCTCCCCATTCTGTCTCTGGTGAATCCTCGCAGGTGGGGTAAAAAGATGATACAGTGAATGTGATCTAGAGGATCAGTAGATATAATTCTACAAAGGATGAATCAAAAGAAAACTTGTGAAAAATATTTTGTAATTAACATTTAGAGAAATTTTAACTCCAGGGCCAAAAAAATTTACCACATTTGCAGTGTACTGTCTTCCTGAAATGTGAATTCATCAGAGTATTTTTAATAAAAGCTGTATTAAAGTATACAAGCTGGCTCCAACATCAGTGAATACAAGTTATTATAAGAAAGTAACCTAGGGCACAGTAACCACCGCTAGACTTAGCAAGCAAACAAAATACCTTTTGTAGTGTGTACTCTAGTCTTTTTATAAATATTAGGTTGTCAACAAAGTCATGAAGCATTTTTGCTTGAAAACAAAAATACACCACGACTTTTCTGACAACCCAATATATTTATTGTATATTGTATTTTCTGACAGTCACTTAAAATTACTAGTTTTGAACTTTTGTACTACAGGCCATCATAAGTGCCATAAAGAAATTCTGTCTGAAAATTGTTAAAATTTTCCTCCTTACTGCTTTTTTAAAGATTATGCAACTGAATAACTTAACAGCACAGCAGTTGTTATTCCATAATACCTTTCAATAGGTGACTTAGATTAGGAAATAGGAGACTTAGATTTTACCATGTTTTTATATTTAACATGCTTAATTGACATAATCTTTTAAATTATCATAACAAACATGTTTGACATATAAAAAAATAGTGGAAAGACAGGAACTTCTTTCCTCTGAACTTCTGACTTTTTTAAAAAACAGAATTTACAAATTATACAAAATGCACTGCATATATAATACTGACATGCAGTTATTCGCAGATTCACAAAGGTGATGGACGCAGTCTCTAGTAAGACGTCAACTCAGAAAATACATGAAATTGTCTGCTAGCTTTAGAGACCCGACACATATATATAAGAAAACAAAACTTGGAGAATGAAACAAAACTTACAAACTTGATAACTTCTTACCCTCCAGATATTTCAAACATAACTAAAAAAAATCTGAACACGCATCATTAAAATAATACATTAAAATAATACATCACAGAATAGAACTGAATTGTTAAAATCAAACATTCTTAAAACCAAAGTTTTTTTGATGTCCCCAGCCTCTTAACTCAGAACCAAATAGTTTAATTCTTTCAGTGAAATTTAATCCAAGAGTCACCAATACTATCAAACTTTTTTTGGTAATCTTTAAAAAAACACATGGTCTAACACATTACTTAGAAATTTCTCTGATTTCTTTAAATATTGGCCTTAGGCTGATTTGCAGAACACTAGGGAAATACAGAGATTAAAAAAAAAAAAAACAAACCCAAAAAACAGAACACCTAAATTAGCAATTTGCTTCTTTTTAAGTTTTTATACTAAATAATGATATTAAAAAATCATTTTTGTGAGGAAGAATCAGATAGATGATTCTCATTTGGGAATTACAATGCAAATGGACTCTTTATATTTATTTCATTAAGGAAGAACTGTACTGTTTTGGTCAACAAAAACTTAAAGGACTGCAGTTTTATACCTAACTGGAAAACCTGAAATGTGATATAAAATTGCAGGTAGTATCTAGTGGTGTAGAAGTAGTTATGGAGATAGTTTCACAAAGAAGTTTCCCAAGAGCTAATATTTTGTTAAATCCAAAGAGTCTGTAAAGTACATGCAACTGTCTTACTTCAGAAGAGGCAATGACTCCGAGATGCTTACATTCAACTTCTGTGTCCAGTTACATAAAAGTCCAAATGCTTGGAATTGACACACTACTCGCCAAATATCCATAAAATATTCACACCAGATAGACCAAGATTAACTCTCCTATAGAGAGAAAAAAAGTTTTAGTGAAATTGTCTGCCAAGCATTGAAACATTTCAAATAACGAAAGCAAGAGTTTTAACAAGGAATACATGTTTAATTGATGACATTTAATGCTATTCTGCAATGAGTTATGTTACACATGGTTTATCAGGTGAATACTTGTAACAGTAATTACTTTCTTAACTGTGCTTAAAACCCAAATTTAGAATAAATGGTTTTATGGAGTGTTGAAAATTAACTTTTCAGTGGACCTGAAGAACTATTACACCAGATAATAGAGTTAACAGGGTAATTTTAGCAAGAAAGATTAAAGTGGAAGTGTCAACTGAATTGAAAAGATGGAGGGTATAGAGATGCTAGCTAGGCCTCTTAGAAAATGTTCTCTTTGGGGTCTCCCTGGTGGCGCAGCGGGTTGAGTGCAGCACTGTGAAGCTGTCCGCAGCCTTTGCAGTGCCGGTTCGATTCCCGGCCGGCCAGTGAGATTCCCACATGGCGTGGCAGACCTCTCCTGTCTCGCCCCCAGCTCCCCTCAGCAGTGTATTTTGGTTGTCTGCCTGTTCTGCTCCCCATTCTGTCTCTGGTGAATCCTCTCACCCTCCTATGCCTCTGGCCTGTACCCCAGCTCATGCATAAAATAAATAAATAAATTTTAAAAGAAAAAAATTTTTCTCTTTGACCTGAATTAGGAATTGACTGATTATTAGGGATTGTTTAGTGAACTTGCATAGGGGTATTAACTAATACAAAGCTTAAACTAAACCACACTGCATGTAAGAAAGGGAAAAATCTACTTCTATTTCAGAGAGCAATCTGACTGTATTCAAAGTATAAGGGGAAAAGAGGGTCCTAAGATAAACCTCTTGCCTAATAAAACAAGAAATCAACCTGAAATGTCCAAAACTGAAGAATCAAGAGCGACATAACTTTATGTGAAACTATGGGCATAGTATCAGAAGAAAAAGCTGGGGAGTGGGCTTGGGGGACACAGGGAACTGCCTTCATGAACCATTAGTACTATGTGACTTTTAAAATTGAGTATTAATTTTGACAACAAATTAAAAGTACAGATTACAAAAATGCCTTTCAAACAGGTCATTTGTCAACTGTGTTTTTCCATTTCCTTACTCCCTCACCAACCCTGTAAATGATCAATCTCAATTTGATAGAAAAAAATATTTTAGTTTGTTTGTATATGAGACTAAGCGTTTGTGTGTTTATTAGCTGTTTGCATTACTCTTCTGTGAAAACGTCTTTTGTGTCAGATCATTTTCTATTTTTCTAATTTATATATAAGACACATATTCCTATATTGTGAAAAAATAAACAAGGATGTTTAAAAAATTAAAAAGGGCCTCCCCGGTGGTGCAGTGGTTGAGTGCTGGGCTGCGAAGCTGCCCGCATTCTCTGCAGTGCCAGTTCAATCCCCGGCCGCCAGAGAGGGTCCCACATGGTGCGCAGACCTCTCCTGCTGTGCCCGCTGCTCCCCTCAGCAGTGTACTTTGTCAGTCTGACTGTTCTGCTCCCCGCTCTGGCTCTGGTGAATTCTCTCACCCTCCCACGCTTCTGACTATACCCAGTGCCTGTATAAATAAATAAATCTTAAAAAAAAAAAATTAAAGATATATACATATTATATACATGCTTTTTACATGTGATGGATATTGACTTGGATCCCTTATGTATTGCAATCATAAAGCTCTGTCTCAGTTTATGATTTAACTTTAAGCTTTACTTACGGTATCTTTTGCTGAACATTTAAATTATTGTGCAGTCAATTCTGTCTAGGTCTCCCCCCTCTCCCAAAAGTAAAACACTCATTTCATTCCAGTAACTGTGTAAATATCTGGCACTGAACAGATAGTGTATTTGAATAAATCTGCTGCTTTATGGGCACGATTCCAAATGGATTATATTTGAGCCATTCATTTCCTTTAAGGTACAGGGTAGTACTTTTTAATTGTTTTTACAATGTATTAAAAATATCTGTCAATCATATTTTAAAAATTAGTAACTCAAAGCCCCTCCGTTGGTTAAAAAAAATCCCAGATAAATAAAACACATATTAATAATCTTAATCTAAATTGTTTTGCTTATTAAGAGAGTGCTTTAATTCTCTTTGGTCTCTAATTGGCCAAAACTAAAACTGCCCAACTAAGTTTCCAAAATTTTCCATTTTTATGCTTGTTACAAACTATATATGGCACTCAACACAAGCTTCACGCTATGATGATGACAGATCATTTATGCACCCAAATATCAACTTGGGCCTATAGAGGAAAAGATGCATTTTCAATTAAAACCAAAAATTCCTTGATTATTTAAAATATTCTAAATTAATCCTTCATTTCAAAAACATGGCTTTCAGAAACATGGTTAAGTGGAGAATAGTCATAAAATATTTATAGCATATTTCACCTAATATATAGATGCACATATTTATGATTAAATGCTGCTAGAAATATTAGGAAAAACAGTTGCATTTACTGATATGCAGAAGTATACAAGATACACCGTAGATGAAAAAGGAGGTCAGAGTACTACATTTGGATAGAATACATTTTTTAAACATAATGAAAAACCAAACTGAATAATACCCAGAAGTAGTCTGGAAACACACACCTGAAACTACTATTATCTATTAACACTGGGTACCTCAAGGAGGGGCACTGAGAGAGGCTGATGAGAGGGGGAATTTTCAATTTCTAGTTTATCCATTATTATAACTTTTAAGCATTTCTATAACTGAACATGCATTATTTTTGTAATTAAAAAATAAAGAGAACTGAATTAAGTTTTAGATGCCCCTCAAAGTGAGTTTCCTATTTAATCTTTCTTCTTTTAAGAAATATAGGATAAAAGAACTACTGTTTATAAATTTCTATTTATGGTTTTTTAAATCTTTGCATCCAATATATATCTTTTTTTTTTTTAAGATTTTATTTATTTATTTATTTATACAAACACTGGGTACAGTCAGAAGCGCGGGAGGGTGAGAGAATTCACCAGAGCCAGAGCGGGCAGCAGAGCAGGCAGAAGGACCGAAGTGCACTGCTCAGGGGAGCAGCGGGCGGCAGGAGAGGTCTGCGCACCATGTGGGACCCTCCTCTGGTGGCCGGGGAGCAGCCAGGGATGGAACCGGCGCTGCAGAGGCAGCGGGCAGCTTCGCAACCCAGCGCTCAACCGCTGTGCCACCGGGGAGGCCCTCCAATATATATCTTTAAGGGTATATATTGGCTTTTTCTAAAGACATGCTAGAAATAAAATGTGATTTAAGTCACAAATGTAAGCCATACATATGATTTAAATTTTTCTAGTGGACACCAAATAAACATTAAGGTAAAAACAGATAGGTGAAATGAACTTTTAACAATATATTTCATTTAGCCCAACATATTTCAACATGTAACCAAAATTATTGAGGTATTATTTTATGCATTTTTTGCTACTAGGTCTTCAAATTCTAGTCTCTTTATTTTACAATTATCAACACATCTCAATTCAAATCATCATGCTTTAAGTGCTCAGTGCCCCCTGTGGCTATGGCTACTGTACTGGACAATGGAGGCCAGAGCTCGTATAAAGCAGGACGCCTAAACAAAACTCACAAGGCATGCCTATCAGAACTGTGGTGAACCCCCGATGTGTTCTACTCCAGGCTCTTCTTTTTTTCCTTTCCTGAGCCTCTGGGTGGGCAGAGCTGAACTTAGAGCAGAGGTTTTGACTCCCTGACTTGCATGACCAGACTTACTAGCTGGGCGGGGTCCACTTACTTCAAATGTTATTTAATACAGTAAATTTCATATTACCAAATGATAGTGAGTTTGAATTTACTGTAATAGTATGTGAGCTTTACTACTAAACAAAGTAACCAATTCAATTCCCATTTTTCCATCCCAGTTAAAAATATTGTGGAATGGGCACTGACTCAGTTTCCTTGATAGTGTAAGCATATCAAAAGTTTTATATCTGAAGTGGGATGGTTTGGGGAAAAAAAAGACTAGTAGTTTTTTCAAATTTGAAGTATAAGAATTGATAGGGATCTCAGAGTTGTTACATTTGTAAAGCCAATGATGTGGTCTAACTACCTTTTTTACTAATTGGGAATTGGAGGTTCTGGGGAATTAATAGACATGCCCAAGATAGCAGAGGTCCTTAGTGCCAGGGCTCAGCTACTACTACAAGCCGTATCTCTTGTTGCTCAGTCCACAAATCTTTTCAGTCTATGATAGTGACTTTTGCAAAATCTTACCTTAGGAAGGAAAACAGTAAGCAGATTAAGTACTTGTGTTTTTAACGCATAAGTACCTACCCAAGCATTCCTGACTCTTTGGTCTTTATGATGTAGAGGAACATTAATAATGTGTGAAACATATTATTTCGTCCCTAGATGAAAACAAAAAAAAGATGAACCATCAGCATTGTATGACTATCTGACTATAATTTTAAACCAAACCAAAAAGAATTCAATCTGTTAGGGAAATGCAAATCCTATCAATGCACATTCTGTTAATTCAGAATTCTAAGTACTTCAGATGTTTGTTCATTATTAAACAAAGTGTCTACTTTGTGCTAGGAAGTGGCAATACTGCAGTGAATAAGACAGAAGACCCACATAAGCAAAGAGCTTGAGGTCTAGTATGAAAGGCAGAGAGTAAACTACGAATGACAATACAGTGGGTATGAATGCTAAGAGAGGAGGAGGAGTACACGCTGCCTTGGGAACATAAGTGGGTGTCTGATCTGGAATCATGAGGCGGGGAATCCCTCCTGAAGTAAAGATTTTAAAGTTGAGACCTGAAAGATGAGCAGAAAGTAAACAAATTGGGCTGTTCCAGAGATGGGAGCACCATTTATAAAGGCTGGCAGAGAGTTAGCCAGAGGGTGTTGCTCCTGTACATTACACACGAAAATGCTCTATCCCCAACATTAACAGCAGAAACAAGAGTGATGATTAAAAATTTTTAATTATACTTCAAATTACAGTGTAAGTAACAAATTAAACAATAACTTTATTTTATCTATTAGGGACTTGAAGGCAACATTTTGTGAGCCCTAATATATCAAACTATTATATAAATAATTTCTCATCTGCAATATAGCTCCTCACATTAGAGTTTCAATTTACCTGTTTTACTCTGATTTTTACCTGTTTACTCTGATTTAGTGTGCTTTTACTCAAGAACTTGAGGAGGTATGATTTTTAAAAGACAGTGTTTCTTTAGGGGGAAAAAAAGGATTTGCATGGACACTCATAGGAATGCTAATGGCTAAAAATATTTACACTTACAAATGTATTATTAAACTTGAAACAAATGAAATTAATATACTCTGCTGGGAGCTGAGAGAGAACACAATTTATAATTACTGTCAATGTAAAAGTTCTTAGTAAAAATCCAGGTAACAAAAATAACTACAAAGGTCATCAAGAAAATAGATGTTTATAATTAAGAATAAAATATCTGGATCAGAGTATAACCTGGTACAGTAATTTTTTAAATCAAGTAACATGGTAATATATTTTAAAAACACTGAAAAAATTCTGTGATCTACAATTTGATTTTTGGACTTTGGAATGAACGAATTATCTAAAATGCAGATGGTTATAAGCATAAAAATGAATATTCAGCAGTACTTATGAAAATGAAGAATTAGAAACACCCAAAGTGTCCAGCAGTAAGGGAATGGTCAAATAAATTATGTTACAATTTTACAAAGTTTTTATAGCCATTAAAAACTATTCTTATTTAGATTTTTAATGGCATGGAAAATTATGTTATAAAGTTAATTCTAAAAAGGACATAAAACTACATAAACAATGAATTCAACCCATAAGAAAACACAAAGACCAAAATGAAATTTATCAAAAAGACAATACACTAAAATGTTAACAATAGCTGCCTCTATGTAAGACTAATGAATGACTTTTCTTACTTTTCTTTATACTTTTCCAAATTAAGTATATATTACTTTTATGGTTAAAAAAAAAGATATACAGGAAACACATTTCCCTTAATTTTAAAAGTTTACCTAGTCCATAAACAAGAGAATGTAATTTTAAAAACATATCAACGCAAGCCATCCGTGACATTCTGTAATAGCAACTTCTGAACAGAATCGTACCTTTGGAAGATTGTAGATATGACTCTGGTAGATTAGCTCATAATGAGGAGGGTTAACAGCACTCTGATAAATGCAAAAAACATTTTCATTGGTCACATCTGTAAAGGAAATACACTACATTAAACAACAAAACCACCAGAAACATTTCATGTGAAAATTTCAACGCATTCTTTCAGGTAAGGGTTCGTCTACCTGGCTTATTTGGTGTCTGAACAAAATGCTGAGAAGTAAATGTTTTTCCGTCAGGATACTTAGGATGTGGAGGTAATCTGGAATCAAGATAGGTGCAAAATACATGCATGATGATCTAAAGAGAAAACAATTTTTCAAAGTCAGCATGAAATTCTAACACGGTTATAGTCTTTTAAAAACATCTGTGCTTTATAAGGACTCCAACTGAAAAATTTTCCCTAAACAAAGAATTAACAAAAATGCTTTCAAGTGGCTGTAAGAGGAAATCTACAGAAAGAAAAGATAAAAGTTAGATATTCCTTGGGCCTCCCTGGTGGCACAAGTGGTTAAGCGTCAGCACTATGAAGCAATCCACAGCTACTGTAGCATTAGTTCGATGCCCAGCCAGGGAGCTGACCCACATGGTGCAGCAAACCTCTCCTCTCTTGCCCGCTGCTCCCCTCAAGAGTGTGTTTCAGTCAATCTGCCTGTTCTGCTCGCCACTCTGTCTCTGGTGAATCCTCTCACTCCCCTGCCCCCCAACCTCTGGCCCACATGCCAGCACTTGTATGCATAAATAAATCGATCTTTAAAAAAAAAAAAAAAAAAAACTTTGGAAAAAAAATAAAGTTAGATATTGCTAGATTTCTGTTAAAGTTGATCAAACTCATAGAGTTTGAACAAAATCAAGATAAAACACACACTCAATTCTCTGAATATCAACATTTAAAACTTCATTTTCATTGTCACTGTAACTTTTTTTTTAAAATTATGGCTTTATTTATTTATTTATTTTAAAGCTTTATTTATTTATATAAGCACTGGGTACAGTCAGAAGCGCGGGAGGGTGAGAGAATTCACCAGAGCCAGAGCAGGGAGCAGAGCAGGCAGAAGGACCGGAAGTACACTGCTGAGGGGAGCAGTGGGCAGGAGAGGTCAGCGCGCCATGTGGGACCCTTCTCTGGTGGCCGGGAGCAGCCGGGGATCGAACTGGCGCTGCAGAGGCTGCGGGCAGCTTCACAACCCAGCACTCAACCGCTGTGCCACCGGGGAGGCCCGTCACTGTAACTCTTGAATGCTCAAAAATTTTATACTCTTTGATCTCATAAATCTAACTCTAAGAATCTTTTTTAGTGATAATCCAAATAAGAAAGAAATATGAGCCAAGATATTGCTTGTAACATTACTTAAGATAAAAAAACAAAATCTCTTCCCTACCACATTTCTCCAAGTTTCAGGTCTAAAATAAGAGACAAGTTAAATAAGTATATAATAATGAGTAATAATGAAAAAAGATTGTACTATAACAAAAAACCGCAGAAGACAAAAATCTTACATACTGGATGATGATGACTATGATAAAAACATTAAAGATAAAAACAGTAAAGGAGCAAAAAAAAAAAGAAAATACATGAAAATAGTAACAATGTTCGAGTTAAGATGCTGGTTCAATTCTTTATTCCAAAATTCTGTTTAATACATAGTTTTATAACAGAAAAATAAAACCACAAAATCCAATAATAAACTGAAAAAACAAACTAGGAACTTACAGCAGAATCAGTGGGGAGGTCAGTATCCCACTTGCGTCCCTTGAAATCTCCACCTCTATTCCATCGAAATGAGCTCATACAGCCACCTTGAGAAAGTTCTTTAACAACAAAAAAGAAATATAGGAAGCTATGAATATGCAAAAGGCAAAAAATGAAAAGAACATGTCATCTTAAATATTTGATCAAAAGACCTTACCAATTTATGAAACAATTTTGCCAAAAAACGGGAACCTGAATTTACAGGAAATACACAGGACAGAAGATCATATAAAACTATACCATGGGGATGCATCCAACAAAGTGCAGACCAATGGAAACTTTACAGACAAACAATATATTTCTTTGAACAAGTTTCAAAGGAAAAAAAAAAAAAAAGGATGGAAGGGAAATCTATAGCTTAAAATAAGCTTAAACATATCAACCAATCATAACAGAATATTATCTGAGTCCCAATTCAAACAAATAATATCAAAAAGGGGGCAATAAATAACATCAAAAAAGGGACACTGGCTGGAAATTTGAATATTGGCTAAACATTTCATAATACAAGCTGTCAAAAAATCTCAGGAGTGATAATTGTAATGTGGTTATGTTTTTTAAAGGCCTTATCTTTTAGAGATAATGTTTACAGATGAACGATAACAATACACAGGAGTTCTTCAAATAACATATGAAGGGAAAAGGCAACTAGGGGTATGGTATGGCAAGGACAGGGACTGCCCAGGCTGATGGTTATTGGGGGCAGGGTGACACAGACAAGAGGGTTGAGCCTACTGTTTTGCCAACTTTACGTGTGTTTGTATTCCTCTTATCTAAAGTTATAAAAAAAAAATCATGGTCAGTGATTACTCTTTAACCTTAGTCCAAACCTAGTGGAGAGAGGAGGCACAAAATTAAGATTTGTGATAAATTTGAATAATGAAGTATTTCTAAAACTTGTTTTAATGATAACAAAATTATACTAACTTTTATCCAAATAAAAGTAGAAAGACATAAAGAGTGTGTTGGGAATATGAGAGAGGTAAAGTTCCTGATTCTCAAGTCAGTCTCCTTAGAAGATCACACTCCCCCACAAATAGTAAGAATATAACAAAAGAATAAGAAAGCAACATATTAAATATGAATTATAAAAATGCCAAGAAGGATCAGCACAATGAAATTATAAGGAACAGAGAATAAGTAAAATAGTTACAAAATTCTGTTCAGCTCATATTTGTTTCGCTATATAAAATTTTTAATTAATGTATTCAAGGCTAACTACATTATTTTGACAACTGTTAGCATATGAAAGTCAAAAGTTGTTCAAGTATAAGCCTTAATTCAGTCACAATTCAATATATATTTGTAAAACACAGGATCACACTTAGTAATACTTTTAATTTCCTCAAAACATTTTTTCCTAATCATCTTTACATATAAAATCTCAAGGTAATGAAAAAGTGCTTGTTCTTTTCTTCAAATCAATAAATAGTTACCTTTGATCCTTTCAAACAAGTATTCCTGATTGGGCGTGAGGTCGAGATACTGCACGATGGTGTTCAAAGTTGGAATGAGAGGAGCTTTGACCAATGCGGCTTGCTTCAAGCTAGTAATACTAGCCTCTGTTGGAAACGAAACACACAGAACACGGATTATTCTTCATGTGGGTCTCTAAAAGAACTTAAAATACTCCTCCTTTTGTATTCCAGTAGCTGCGTCTTCTCTGCCTTCATGTCCTTACACAATCAGTGAAGTCTTCCCTAACCCCTTCCCCCGCCCCTCCTCTGTGCTGTTTTCCTCTCTGGCACTAGCCACTATCTAATATACCTGGTTCATCTTGTTTATTGTCTGTCTCACCTGTGAGAAAGAAAGCTTAATGGAGAGATCTGTGGCATTCTGCTCACAGCTACGTCCCCAACACCTAGAATAGTTCCTAGCACAGAATAGGCACTCGAGAGGTGCTGAAAGAGTAAGTGAATGTAATAATAGCTCATCTAACAATCTGCATTATCTAATTTATCTAGAATGTAAAAACATACAAACACACTCCAAAAGCAGCAGCCAAATCCATTTTGGCAAATCTATAAACGATTAATATGTTGATGATTTTTGTAGGGAAGGCTGATGGTGGGAAACAGGTGAAGGCTGCTAAAGATGACGAGCTTTCTTTTTTGGGTGCTGAAACATTCTGAATTTGATTGTGGTGATGGTTGTCCAACTTAAACCTTGGAACTGTAGACTTTAAGCAGTTGAACTGCATGGAATGTAAATCATATCTTGGTAAATTGTTCTACTTGTAAAACCCTATAGACATTGTAACATTCAGGTTCTTTGTTCACCTCAAGATAACAAAGGAAGTGGTTAAATAGCTCATTACAAGAGGGAATTTTCCACTTGGCAGATTCATTAAAGGTAAAGTCAAACGCTGGGCTCTATTTTCACATACCTCCTATTTGCAGTTCTGGACAACCCATCCGTCTCATCTGCGTGCTGACAGACTCAATCTCTTGCACAAGTGGCACTAATATTGTCTCATTGATCCACTAGTAAGAAATCAAGTAAAGATTTTACACACATAATTCTAAGTTAGCTCTCAAATAATTATTTTTAATGAACTCCAAGAACTGTTCAACTGTTTTGTACTTGAAAATTAAGTGAGTACAGTGAAAGAGAATTGAAGTGGCAGCTACCTGAAGTCTAGATAATTAGGTAAATAGGCTTAACTAACATATGCTTGTTTTTTCCAGAAGGAAAGATGAAACATTCAGCTGTAAAGTTTTTCTTAAATTTTATGATTATTATACTAAGCTAAAGGATAACCTTCAGTTTACATTTCTAGGGTAATTATTCAAACAGTTATTCATGTAGTGTTTATATTGATTTGTGGTAAGACAATTTTCAAACTAACATACTTGATTAACTTCCAGCAGGCTCACCCAATCCTCTAACCACAGAAAAGCAAATGTATTATACTTGAAACTAGTGTGTGAATGTTACAATATTACTTTAGGACTAAGGATTTTTAAACACCATTTGCAAGGCTAATATCAAACTCATTCTGGATGTGGAAAGACTGTCCAAGGAAACACCATCTGGTTTGCTGGTGTGTCATGTGTGTTATGTGTGCTCATAGCAACTGCAATCACTATTTCTGTTTCCACGTCTCTGTTTAACTAAAAATGGAAGGATGCAACACAAGCCTACAATTCCTTATACAAAATTCTGAATTAAAAACAACAACAAAAAACAAACGTTTTTGGGAATCCATTTAGCAAGGAAATTTGTTATGTTGGCAAGACCTGGACCTGAATCCTCATGAAGCTATTTAAAGACTTTATCCCACTTAGTGTAACTATTCATTTGCTTTATTGCAGAAAAGTAATGTGGTTGATTACCGAATGTTAATCACTGCACTAGTGGTATTACAAAAATATAGGGTCTAGACATGTTGCTTTTCAAAACAATTTTAGGGCCTCCCCGGTGGCGCAGCAGGTTGAACGCCGCGCTGTGAAGCTGTCCTGCAGCCTCTGCAGCGCAGGTTCGATTCCTCGCTGGCTAGGGAGATGCCCGCATGGCGCAGCAGATCTTTCCTGCCTTGCCCGCTGCTCCCCTCAGCAGTGTATTTCGGTCATCTGCCTGTTCTGCTCCCGACTCTGTCTCTGGTGAATCCTTTCACCCTCCCGCGCCTCTGGCTTGTACCCCAGCTCTTGTATAAAAATAAATAAATCTTAAAAAAAAAAAAAAATTCAGAACACTGTCGTCTATGGAATTCAGATAAGGGATTGTACCTGTAATTCTTTTAAGTTAATATTCCAACCAAGATTTCATATTTTAAATATATTAGCATTTTTAGACAAACCTCAAAGTAGATATAAAAATAATACAGTTCCAGGAGATTACTTCAGCCATTCAATCTTCAATATTTATTAAATGCATCCTACCTGCCAGTCACTCTTTAGCTGCAAAGGAATGGTCTAAGGGTTCCTGGAGAGAGATTTAGACTTCATCCTCAGGAAGTCTGACTGGGTAGTTCTAGAGTTGGGCTCAGAAATTTATTTTTAAAAAGCCGTTCAGGTTACTGGTTTAAGAAAGCAGGCTGCTATTTTTTCACCACTCCCTCTTCAGCCCTATTAAAGTTATAGTAAAAGAGACTAAAAAAGGAGTACAAGTGATTTTAATGTATTTCTAGAAACTGCAGAACGGATGGCTAAGTGTGGAAGGATGCAAAGTGGCAGCCTGCATAGACCATGAACATAGCCTGACTGCAGTGGAGCAGGGCACCCGTCCGGCAGAGCCTGTGCCACGCAGGTACTGTGGAGAGTGGGAGAAAGAGCCAGGGCTGCCAGGGGAACTCACTCTACAGGGAACAGCCTGCCTTCTGCACCATCATATTTGTTTCCCTTACAATTCTGGACACATAAAAGACTGGACAGAAAGCTTTTGAAAACTAAAATTGAGACACTGGGAAATGGCCATCTTAATTTCCTTTATCAATTCAAGATACAATGATTTACTAAATATGGAAGGAAAAAAGTCCCACAAAAATGAATACCATAAGATAAATGTCATGTTTAAAACCCTGACTGCACAACTGAGACTACCAGAAGGTAGGGGATAGGTAGCAAAATATGGAGGGGACCCAATGGTAGAGGATTATGGGTGCCTAGGTGATGGGTATGGTGTGGCAACAAACATCTGAAGAGATGTGAACCTACATGTCTGAATCATATAGGGTGCTTTATACAAACACCACCTCAATTAAAAAATAATTATTGTTAAAAAAGTCATATTGGCCTTATAGATGTACCACCTAAAATTTAAGTTTATTAATTCTGATATTCCAATAATTGATAACTCTAACTGATATTCCAATAACATACCTTGTATATTAACAGGTACTAATATTGTCCAAAGAGTAATGTCAGAACTTACATTTCTGAACTTGGCTGTCCATGAATCCATATGATCAAGAAGCTGTCTATTCATAGTCACTCTTGCCCAAACCTATTTAAAATGTTTAAAATGAACAATTACTGATTTATTACAAATCAGTTATTATCTTCCCTAAACTATGTGAAAAACTTTGGGGGAAAAAAATCTTAAAATATTTATGAAATACACAATATTCTTATTACCAACTTGGCTGTTACTCATGTAGATAAATATTTAAATTCCTATGTTAATATGTTTAGGGAACACAGGTCTTACTTTTAAGAACAAAATTAAAATCTTGTATTCTGTATCAAACTGATGAAGTTACAGACTGTCAAGTGTTCTAATCCAAATGTACTTTAAAAGCAAGAGTTTTGGATATATCAAGTACAATTAGATATGTGAATCTTTATAATGAGTGCAGAAAAATGTTTTATGCAGGACATTAATGTCAACTATGTGCCATAAAGCATAAGACATACAATAATTCAGTTTTGGGCTTACAAGTAAGATAGGAGCCTTGCCTTTTCCTAGGCTATGCGTCTAGAAGTAGAAGTGGAGGTTACAGGACAAAAAGCTTCCAGACTTTCTAATAAGCTGTAAATCACAAATAGTAAGTCATTTTTATTTTCCACTTACCTCTTCTGCAGCTTGTTTGGAACTGAGATCGGCTTCATCTTTGTTAGCACTTGGGGCCTGAGATCTACAAGCGAGCTGATACTGAAACTTCTTTAAAGTCTGTGCATAATCCCCCATAGAACGACTGTAATTCCAGAAAGTAGGACTGGTAGAAGGTGAGGTAGAATCTGGGCTCCCTGTAATGGTCAATGTAAAGAGCTTCAGTCTGTTACAGAAATGCTTACACCTTGAGCTAGCACACGAATACTGGGTAGCCAGTTTCCTAAGCGGGGCAATCAAGTAAGACCAAACCTCAAGGGTCTTCTCTTCTCCCCAACACTGTCCCTTCCTTAGAGAACATAGACTGCTTGTGCTAGAACATTTTCTGTGCAGTTTAATAGTCACGACATGTAGTTGGCTGACAGTATCTGCTATCTGCTTATTGTTGTTGTAAAATTAAGCTTGTTTCATTCTGTATGACTTTCAAATGATTCAGTGAGAAACAAAAGACAAATTTCTTCAAGAAATAAACAGGCTAAGGGGGCCTCCCTGGTGGTGCAGGTGGTTGAGCGCCACACTGTGAAGCTGTCCGCAGCCTTTGCAGTGCAGATTTGATGCCAGCCGGCTGGGGAGAAGCCCACGTGGCGCAGCAGACCTCTCCTGTCGTGCCAGTGGCTCCCCTCAGTAGTGTATTTCATCAGTTTGCCTGTTTTGTTCCCCGCTCTGTCTTTGGTGGGTCCTCTCGCCCTCCCGCACATCTGAACTGTGCCCCAGTTCTTGTATAAATAAATAAATCTTAAAAAAAAAAAAAACAAAACAAATAAATAGGCTAAGGAAATTCCTGCATTTTTAGAAGCTTTTTCTGAATGGGATAACTACAGTCTCCTATTAATAAACTACTCTTTGGACTAGCAGTTAATCTCACTCTTCCCTGTACTAAATTATATTCTATATATAGCCTGGAGTAATTCTTGTGTTATAGCAAACGAGACTGATTGCACTTCTAAATTTGTAAATTTACTTGAGGAAATGCAAATAGTTATGGTCAGAGATCTAATCCCACAGAGACCTCTGCTACAGTACTCATCACACTTGGAGGTATGTTGTCTCTTTTCCCAAATAGAATTTAAGCTCTTCGAGGGCAGTCTCGCTCTCCCTAGCATCTGGCACACTACTTGAATAAGTAGCACGTGTTCAAAGACAATTATATGATCCTTATGAAAGTTATTATTTTTCCTGAATTTAACTATTACCTGAAACATTTACTGACACTTTGCACCCAAATATAAAAATCACAGAAAGCTAATTCTTTAAAAAAAAAAAAAAACTTATTAGAATTTCTAAAAGGAGTCCTATAAAGTAATAAAACTGGTTTTCTTCTGATGTTTACAGGAAAGGATGAGAAATCATGAGAACAATATATGGCAATATTTCAATTTATAGCCTCAAAACTTTGAAGATCAGTCAGTCTTGTACAGTAGCTTAGGTGACTAACAATATGTTCCATGTTGGAATAAATAATAACAGAGTAACAAAGTATCACAAAAAGTATATAGTTAAATTTCCAAGTAGGACTTCTGATTAAATTGACTTACAGTAATAAATTAATGTCATGAAAACAAATTTTAGAACAATACAAACATTGAATAAATAAGGAATAAAAAAGGAAGAGACATGTTTACGACAAAGCACAAAGCTATGCTATTCTGATTAATCATTTTGACTATTAACTTAAAAATTAAAACCAAGCTTTCTGAAAGAAAACTTAAACCTGAGAAAACTTTCAATGAAGACTAGTTTTAGATGACGGAACAAGTTTTACAAAGCTTAAAAGAATTAATATGATAGAATTAAGAGGTTTTACTATTTGTTATACATTAGCCAAAGTACAAGCAAAATATATACAGAATCACTGACAGAATAGGGCCTCCCTCTAGTCACAACCACAACAGAACAGCCCCAAATCTGTAGCTGGAGAACCCCATAGACTTGAGAATCAAAGCATACAAGAGATTTGGAATTCTGGCAACATAATGAGCCGCAGAACCTAAAACATCTCTCACTATAAATACCTAAAAGTGTTTACTAAGTAAGACACATTATTTAGATGAATGGAACTTGTAAAAACCAAGGAGAAATAATCAGTGGTTAAAATGAAGAAAGAATTGAAAATCAGAGTGGCTATGCATGAGCTGATGCTGTGGTGGCTCTGGAGAATTTTGTGGGAATTATCGGCTTGTATTTCAGAGTCCAGGTGGGAAAGGGAGATAAGAATGTGGGTCCAGAAGAGGTAAAGAATTGCACCGGACCTTCTTCTACCTCCATTCCCTGCATTAACATAATGCCAAGAATCTCAAAGGGCCACAGAAAAAGTATCTGTCCAATGGCACCAGAGATAACAAGGAAATTTATCTCAGGTTGTTTTGAGAGTATTTTTTTTAATCCCCGAAATTTAAAAGGTATAGATCCATCTTCATGTGGGTTTAGAGTACCCAGTTACACTACCTGTTGAGGTCTAGGAACCTCCAAGTCTAGAAATGTCTTAAGTTCAAGATCAATGATACTATTTAAGCACCTACCAGGCACATATATAAAAACGGAGAGAGAGCTTCCATCCAGCCTGCCCAGGACAGGACAAAAACACACATAAAACAGCACTGAAGATGAGCTTACCAAAACAAACATAAAAATACATAAATCACAAAGAAATAAGTGTATAAGATGCATAAGAGTCAACAAAACAAAAAATATTTATATTTAACTTTCAAAACTTCAATTGAACTACTGGACAGAGACTTTTACAAATTATGTTTTTAGTGACTGAAGAGTTTTAAGAAGTTGAAAACATAACAAGGTACTCTAAAATAAATCAGGAATAGATGAAAGGGTACCAAGTAAAACTTGAAAAAAATGAGAACAAAACCATGACAAAAAACTGGAATGAGTTAACTAAACAGCAATTTAGACACTGCTGAAGACAGAACTAACCATGAGTCCAAAGTGACTATAATGAAAGACTGTGGGATGACGGGCAAAACAGAGAGCTCCTCTTAATAGAAAAATGCCAAATTATTAAATGTAGAAGAAACAAGAATATTAGAAAGTCTTCATTTTGTAACCACTACTATAATAAGTCATTTGGCAAAGGATCATCAGTGAGTGCCGAACTGGGTGGAAGGCTGTTAGAGAACAGGACAGTCACATGCCTCAAAGAATCACATGATAGATTATTTTTTTTTTAAAAATCAAGGAATTTTATTTTATTTATTTTTTTAAAAAGATTTATTTATTTTTTTTTTTTAAAAAAAAGATTTATTTATTTAGTTATGCAAGCACTGGGTACAGTCAGAAGCGCGGGAGGGTGAGCAAATTCACCAGAGCCAGAGCGGGCAGCAGAGCAGGCAGAAGGACCGAAGTACACTGCTGAGGGGAGCAGCGGGCGGCAGGAGAGGTCTGCACGCCATGTGGGGCCCTCCTCCGGTGGCCGGGGAGCAGCTGGGGATCGAACTGGTGCTGCAGAGGCTGTGGGCAGCTTCGCAACCCAGCGCTCAACCGCTGAACCACCAGGGAGGCCCCACATGATAGATTATTAATATAAGAAAAGTTATGATGAGGAAATCAGGTGACCATCACAGTGGCCAAGTGATTCAATTTAATGTTACAAAATAAAGGGACAAACTGATATCATGTATCTCCTGATGTGACACATTGAAAGGAACACACACCACCTAAGCTGCATTCTTGCAAAAAAAAAAAAAAAAATTTCGAAACACCTAGCCTGACTTCTTCAAAGTGTAAATGTTATAAGGGACAAAAGACAAACAAGGGCCTCCCCGGTGGCGCAGTGGTTGAACTCTGGGCTGCGAAGCTGCCCACAGCCTCTGCAGCGCCAGTTCGATCCCTGGCCGCTGGCGAGGGTCCCGCATGGCACCACAGACCTCTCCTATCTCGCCCACTGCTCCCCTCAGCAGTGTATTTCATCATTCTACCTGTTATGTTCCCTGCTCTGGCTCTGGTGAATCCTCTCACCCTCCTGCACTTCTGACTGTACCCAGTGCTTGATAAATAAATAAATCTTTTTTTTTTTTTTTTAAAAAAAAAAGGCAAACAAGAACACACAAATGCCCTAGATTAAAGAAGAAAAAAGAAGTGTGACAACTAAAGGCAATCTGTGATCCCTGACTGAATCCTCCATCAGTAAAATTTAAAAAAGCTACACAGGTGGTTACTTGGGCAACTGCGAGAAATGTGGATATGAGGAACAGTGTTATCTTAAGTATGATAATATAGCATCAAAAAGGAAAACTGGACTTGTTCTTAGGAGATGCATATGCATGTGAAATATTTAGGGATGAAGTGGCTGTTCAGTTAAAAAAAGGGTGTGAACAAGGAAGAGTAGATATGAACGTCTGGTTTCTTGTTATTGGAGAAAGGATTTACAAATATGGAGAGAGAAGAGGCTAGAATAAATCCTAGATAGTTTGACTGGAATTGAAGGTATCACTATAAACTAATGGCTTTTAATACATATGGATGGATGGATGAAGAAAGACATATGAATATGTGTGTATATTTATGTTTTTGTTTCTTGTATGAATGTATATATATTTCCTAGCTGTCTGCTAAGAGAATCTAGAATAATTATGCCCCATCAACAATGGCATATCCAGTACCCAGACATTCATTTCTAAATATTCACCACTTAAAGGAATCACACCTCCTTGGAGAAACGGGCTGACTCTAGAGTGAGTTAGCCAAAGAAAGTACAAGGTAAGCCTGGAATGGATATCTTCTGATTCTACAAAGTTAAAAAAAAAAAGTCCTCAAAGAGTGATGGCTTCATGTCAAAAGTACACAAACTCTAGTTTAAAGAGGATCCACTAGCCAAATCTGATATAATCTAAATATTACATTAAAATGACCTAATAGAGGAGGAAAAATTCTAACCGTAGAATGCCAAGACATAAATGTAAAAGATGGTTGCTTAAAAATGTGAATGTATTTAATACCGCTGAATTATATTCTAAAAAAATGGCTCATTTTATCAGAATAAAAATGTTTATAAAATATAAAAAGGATCAGGGCCTTCATGGTGGCACAAGGGGTTAAGCGCCGCACTATGAAGCAATCCACAGCCTCTGCAGCACAAGTTCAATCCCCAGCCGGCCGGGAGCAACCGACATGGCGCAGCAGACCTCTCCTGACTTGCCCGCTGCTCCCCTCAGCATTGTATTTCAGTCAGTCTGCCTGGTCTGTTCCCCACTGTTTCTGGTGAATCCTCTCACACCCCCCGCATCTATGGCCTGTACCCCAGCTCTTACATGCATAAATAAATAAATCTTTAAAAAAACACATAAAAAGGATCAGTATAGATAATGACCAACATAGTAAGTAATTTTGAAAACAATCTCAAAGATGTTAATACTTATAAGTAAAAATTTGATGAGGAACAGACTCATCAAGACTTTAAGACTATTTGTATAGTCTTAAAGCAACTCCTCAAAAACATTTATTATCTGCATATTAATTTGTACAAAACACTTAGTTACCCAAAACCTAAAGGTATAGAAGAGTTACAAATATAGGGATAGATACAGATATGCGAGGAAAACATTAACCAAAAGAAAATTAGTATAGCTGTGTTAACTTTAGACACAACAGACTTGAAAGCAAAAAGCCTGATAAAAATCTCTGTGTGTGTGTGTGTGTGTGTGGTCAGAAAAGTCATGGAGTATTTCTTCTATGCAAAAATGCATCAGACTTTTCCAACGACCCAATATTGAGCTAATTTTTAACTTAGAGGAGACATTTAAGGGAGACAGCCAATGTGAGCTTTTAGTACCCTTTCTTTCTTAATAACTAATAGATTAAGCAGACAAAAATAAAAAGACAAAGAATTTAAGAACACCATCATGAAAATTGATTCAATGAACACCAGTATTTAGAGACTATGCATTTTTTCACAATATCAAGAAGCATCTGCAAAAAGCAATCATAGAGCAGGTCTAAATGCAATTTTCAAAAAATTAATACGGTACAGATCAGAATCTCTAGTCACAGTAAGTTAATCATTTAGAGGAAAGAAATAAACAAAGCTTTCATTTCATGTTTGAAAGTTAAAAGCAACACTAACAACTATAGGTTAAAGAAGAAATAAAATTGAAAGTGAGAAAATATCTGGATATGGAAAAGATGTGTAGAGAATACAGATGCTGTACTTTATAATTTATACTTTATAATTTCCAATATACCTGAACTATCTCAAATTTTTAAAAACAAGAAAAAGCATGTATCAACAAATAACAAGATAATATTGATTTGTTTCTTTGACATTTGTAGCACTTTCAGGCAAAATTAAATTAAAAATCAATGAAGAGATTTCAAGTGACACAAAGAGTCATGGTCCAATAACCTGCTTCCTCATCGTGACCACGCTTTAGCACCTAATGTGCTTTCTGTCAAAGTTCCTGAGGGGGAAAAATCATTACTCGGTTCAATAATGTAATTTGGTTTCAAATAATTGACTTTGTAATAATCAAATCCACCCCAAATAGATTAAGACTTGCTAACATTGTTTCCCAAGGTAAACTAAAGATGAGTTCAAAAATGTTCTGAAAAACAGCAGCACTTCTAGAGTAAAAGTATGCTTTCCCCTGCCACATCAACCTCCCAAGCACTACCTGACAGGGGACCAAACAGCACTTCAAATTTTGGTATGAACCACTTCAAGAACATTTTATGGCCTCAACTATTAAGTAGAAATTATTAATTTGACATATGTGAAAAAGCTTCCATCTTTTTCTTATAGATGAAAGGCTCAAGATTACTCAGTTCACCTACATTTTACTTCTTAAATCTGGTAACCTTAATTCTTTTTTAAAAGATTTATTTTTATTTATTTATGCATAGAAGAACTGGGGTATAGGCCCGAGGTGTGTGGGGTGAGAGGATTCACCAAAGACAGAGTGGCGAGCAGAACAGGCAGACCTACTGAAACACACTGTTTAAGAGGAGCAGTGGGCAAGACAGAATTCTGCTGCGCCACGTGTGGGTTAGCTCCCTGGCTAGAGATCAATCTCAGGCCTTAGAGGTGATAGAATGATAGAGCTGAGACTTAACTCCATGCCACCAGGGAGGCCCCAAACTTAATTCTAATGGCATAAAATACATAACATATAAAACAAAATGCATTTCTCTTAAGGTACCCAAGGAAAGACACTTAAAACTGAATTGTGGGTAACAAAGTAATGGAAATAATGGGCTAAGGTTCATAGGGTTCATATACAGTGACATAATTGTGTACATTAGATCTAAAAAAAAAATACATATGTACCCAGCTTAACTCTATGCTGTTTCTCCTCTTCACTTCTAAGAAAAGTATCCAAAGTTCGTAGGTCTGTCATGTAGTCTTCTTTGTCCGTGGGGGAGTTATAGACAGTAGGTGAAGAACGGTAGCGAGATCTCAAGCCACTGCTCTCCACTGGTCCAACAGTGGCAGGGTATGGAGAAGAAGGAGAGGGGCTATAGCTTGCCAACTAAACAAAATAAAAGAATTTTATTTTATTTTTCTTTCAGTAAAATGTATTTTTGCTTTGATTTTTGACGTTTAAAAAGTAACACACAAAGCAGAACGACCAAACTCCAGAACATTGCCAATACCCAAAGATGGCCATGATGGAGCAACAGGAACACACATTCACTGCTGGTAGGATAGCAAAATGGGACAGCCACCTTTCTACAAAACTAACACATTCTCACCTTGCAACCTAGCGACTGTGCACAGAGCAACCTATATTGGGGTGTATGAGTAGCTTTGTTCATAATTGCCCATATTTGTAAACCACCAAGATGTCCTTCACCAGATGAATGCATTAATAAGCCGTGGTACCTCTGGATAATGAAACCTTTTTTTTTTAAAGATTTATTTATGCATGCAAGAACTGGGGTGCAGGCCTGAGGTGTGAGGGGGCTGAGAGGATTCATCAGAGACAGAGTGGGGAACAGAACAATTAGATTGACCAAAGTATACTGCTGAGGGGAGCAGCGGGTGAGTCAGGAGAGGTCTGCTGCACCATGTGCGTTGCTCCCTGGCTAGCTGGGGATTGAACTCATGCTACAGAGGTTGCAGACAGCTTCATAGGTTGTGTCTTAACTCCTTGCGCCACAAGGGAGGCCTTTTTTTTTTTTTAAGATTTATTTATACAAGAACTGGGGTACAGGCCAGAGGCGCGGGAGGGTAAGAGAATTCACCAGAGACAGAGCGGGGAACAGAACAGGCAGACTACTGAAAACACTGCTGAGGGGAGCAGCGGGCAAGACAGGAGAGGTCTGCCTTGCCATGTGGGTATCTCCCTGGCCGGCTGGGAATTGAACCCGTGCTGCAGAGGCTGTGGACAGCTTCATAGTGCTGTGCTCAACCTGCTGCACCATCAGGGAGGCCCTATTTTTCTATATTTTAAAAACCAGTCTGATGCCATGTGGGTAGCTCCCTGACTGGCTGGGGATTGAACTCGTGTTGCAGAGGCTGCGGATAGCTTAACAGTGCTGTGCTTAACCCCTTGCACCACCAGGGAGGCCCGTGTTAAATACTTTAGAAATAGATTACTAGTGATGGGCATTACTTTTATTAACTATTTACTCTAGCACATTGACACATTTTTTTCTACTGGGGTTTCACAATCAATTTCTATTAGTTTGTAACAAATTAAGGATTAACAAAACTTTTAATGCTGTTTGAAAATAAAAGTTAATCCCCTTTCAAATGCCCTAGTTTAGTTTTGCTCAGAGGCATAATATTTTAATCAGTAAGCTTTAATAGCAAGAGCAAAGTAGCCCAACTCTTACTCAAAATTTTCTTGGTTCATTTATTTTTCTATAATTTATTTATAAAAATTTATTTTTTATTTATACAATAGCTGGGGTACCGGCCAGAGGCACGGAAGGGTGAGAGGATTCACCAGAGACAGAGTGGGGAGCAGAACAGGCAGATGGACTGAAAGCACTGCTGAGGGGAGAAACAGGTGCGACAGGAGAGGTCTGCGGCACCATGTGGGAATCTCCCTGGCCAGCTGGGAATCGAACCCACACAGCAGAGGCTGTGGACAGCTTCACAGCGCTGTGCTCAACCCTCTGTGCCACCGGGGAGGCCCTATTTTTCTACAATTTAAAAACCAGTACATAAACTCTAGAAACACATCAAAAAGTTGGTGGATTAGAACCGACTGGATTGTATTAACATTATATATTATTGTGAGAAGAAAATCTTTATAATATCTTATTATCCAAGAAAATGTGCTAAGGAGAAGAAAGATCTTTATACATGCATCTTATTTATCCAAGAGAAATGTGCTTAGGACGGTGTCTTCAAACCTTTATTTTTAGTTTTAGTTTTTTAAATTCTGGTCAGAAATAAATTGTCTAATTTTTTTAATGATTATTTTTAAAAAGAAAGGTGCAATATTCAATAGTTATTGATATAGTTTTATTAAATGTTACTACTCAAATCTTTCATATCCTTAATGCTGCCTACTTTAGTAGACATAAATTGATAGTTAGTCTTCTACTAAAACTGAATTTATTTTTTTTCATAGCTTGAAGTTTATGCTATATTACATAATGTATAAGGATCATGACAGTAACATTTATTATTATTTCTTTCTTTCATCAATGTAAAACGACCTTTTGGCTGATAAATTGCTTTCTCCCTTTAAAATTGTATTTTGGTGATACTACTGCTAACTCTTACTTTTGTGTTTTCCTGATATATATTTGTCTTCTGTACTTTCTTTTGATGTTTTCTTAATACATCATTTAAGACTTTAGAACAAGAAAGATTAATAAGGTGAAAGATCTCAATTCATCATTTCTTTCCATTTAATTTGTAAATTCAACAATGAACAAGGCAGAAAAAATCACTGGAAAAGAATGGGTAGAAAAAGAGTTAAAATAAGGAAAGATTATTTATTTAAAAATAAATGCTTTCCTGGTATTTTGGTAGTAGGTGTGACTCCTTTTTGTAATAAGCTCTCATTTAGCCATTTCTGAAACAAAACAAGCAGCAGTGTTTGACATTATTTGTTAATTCACTTAATACTCACTACAGTGACATTGCTAAATGTAGCACTAAAATACATATCAGGGAAATAGAAGACATCCCAGAAAAGGACCCTATAAGAATATATATATAATGCAAAGGAAGAATCACAAAATGATGAAGGTAATATTTACTTAATATATTGGTATTTGGAAAACTAATTTATTTTGGCAAAAACCCCAAACAAGAAAACCTTCATCTCATACATCATAGAGAGGGCGGAAAAATCAATCCTCAAAGTTTAAAAATTTTTAAAGTTAAAACAGAAGCACGAGCAAAAGATAGATTTGACTACTAAAAATTTAAAACTTCTATTTTTATGTTTTTTAAAAATCCCATGGAAAGTGCTCACACTTAAGAGTTAAATTCTATAAGCCTAATTTTTGGCTAAGATACTACTCCAACATGATGAAAATCATACAAATTCTATAAGGATTTACAAAAGTTTCATATAAAACAGCAAAGAATGCAAGAACATGAATAAAGGAAACTAAAAAAAGTATAGTTTCAACTTCAAAAGATCTTGCAGAAAGATCCTAGATGGTGAACTGAGGTTCATTATCTTTGTAAAATATAAATTTTTTCTTTCATTTTAAGATGTGGTATAAAAAACTTCTGACTAGTGTCAAGAAATCTGGGTTGTATTTATGGCTCTTAAGTGGATGATATTGGCAAGTCAATTGCCCACTGCCGCTCAGTTTCTTCATTGATGAAATGAAGAGTCTGAACTTAGTAATGAGTTCCCAATTTCAAAATAATGTGGTTGACTGAGAAAAAAAAAGTCATTACCTTATTATATCCACTGACAGGAGAGTAGGTCATTCCAGGGCTATAAGAACCACTGCCACCTGATGACAGGCCTTGAAGCTGAGGGCTGTATCCAGTTATACAGCTGGTGGTGAACTTGGGGCTGGTACTAGGTGAGCGAGATGGGCTATAACTCAACACACTCTGTCCCTGAATTGAAGGTGAGGGGAGAGAAGAAGGGATTTGGGTTGCTGCCATATCATGTGGAGGAGTAGTCTGTACAACTAGAAGGAAAAAAAAAACAATAATAAAGTATGTGTGTACATACAGCAATAACATTTCTGTGAGAACAGAATTAAGGAACTTTTTCTTCAAGAAAAAGGAAAAGCAACTTGGCTGTTAAGTTACAAAGTATTATCACCAAATGACAAATTACATACTATTTCCTTAGCTTCAAAATAAGAAACCGGCCTTAATGCAGCAAGTTAGTAAATTTAATTTTAATTGCAATTAAATAATGGAACAAACTTTCCTCAGGTTGTTGAATGTTAGCTGCACTCAACTCATTCAAGTGGGAATGATAATCATTGGTCTTAAGACAATTTATTATAGACCTGTTTAATATAGTTGAACCAGATGGCCTTAGAAGTTCCTTCCCACTGAGTCTATGAAACAGAAAATTAAATTGAGAAAGATTTATTGCCAACCTTTCCCCCACCTTTGCAAGAGATATAAAACACTTACCAGCTGTTTTCAGACCTAAAAGTGTTTGCTGTTCAGGGCTAACAACCAGACTTGTTGGTGCCACAGTATATTTGAAATATCTCCAAAAATCAAATAAGGCATTTAGGCTGAAGAGAGATGCTAGGGCAAGCTCTGGAAGAGAACAAGAATTTACTAGGAAAATAAAGGGTAAAAGGGAGAAATAAAATCCTATTTTAGCAAATTAACAGAAAACTGAAAGTTATCTCTTAATTCCTCACAAGTACCATTTAATGTCCATTTTGTGTAATGAGTTTATCATTTATCCTTCAAGTTTACACAATAAATACTTCATGGTCACTGTACAATGAATCAAGAGCTGCAGAGAATTCAAGTTACTTTTGGAGAATATAATGCTAGTTACTGAAGCCATGACTCTCATTTGGGCCTGCTGATCCAAAGGTCTTGCTCTTTCACTTGCCCCACCACCTCCCTCTCATAGACTTCAGGGCTAGAAGGACTCTTTATACCCAAGATCTCGTGAAGCAGACAGAAAGGAATGAAGAATCCAAGGCAGGCATTAAGAGATTAGAAATCTGGTTGGTCTTGAGAGATACAAAGGTAGAGAAGTAGGAAGGACATTTGAGGGAGAATAACAAATACAAATCTCACCAGCCCAAACTTTTTCTTTACAGAACCAACAATTCCCTGTAGTCATATTGTTTATTAATTTGACTGTCTCCTCTATACTAGACTATTCCTTCCAGGATGACAGGTACCTTGTTTCCTTTCTGCCTAGTGCCACATTCTGGAACACAGCAAGGCTATCAAATATTTATTGAGTGAAGGAATGAATACTAAGTTCAATTAAATTTAAACAAAACCTTTCATTGGTAGTAAATCAAATTACAGTGAAAAATTACTTACCAATATACCAGAGGGGCCAGTATGTCACATTATAATATGAACTAATCAATTTTCCAGTCCTGAAAAAATTAGAAAGTCTTTTCAGTAACTTAAAAAAATCAAAACACACAAAACCCCATTGGCTCCATAACATTATCATGGAGGGAGGAGAGGTGTAGGGTTGGGGGTGGCTAATTAACTTACATTTCAGTATATATCATTCCAGCTACAGATACATTTAGGAGTCCCCAGGCTAAAACCACTTTCCTAGCTTCTGTTTCTTTTCTCATCTTGATAGTTCTGTCAATAAGGGAAGCACTGGGACTTGGCTCCCCTTGCATCTATTCAGAAACAAAAAACACAAGAATTAACCCAAAGTAAATAGTTTTCCATCTAAGAAATCAAAGTGGTGTCCTTTATAGAGGTAACTAAAAATTGCACATACTTCCCCTTATCTTTAAAGTATCTTGCCAAAATGTTTTACATTTTAACATATGAAAGGGAATCCCTAGGTTACAAGTTCATTGGTGCCATTTGCAATCAACAGAAAACTGGCAGGCCACTTGAGGGAACAAATTAATATTTCCACAAAATAAAAATGTCTTATTTTTGTAATTTAAGGGTTGGTGATTATGTCTGCAACTAGTCTGTAGTGTGATTTTGGATTATGTCACAGGGGCCCAGGGCCTAATCTAAGTTTTAGCAGTAAGTACTTCACAAAAACTATAAGCCACAAAACTCTCCTACATCTTCAGGCGGAGGCCATTGTTGGTCTGATCCTAAATAACAGCACTGCACGCTGCCAGCTATTTGGCGTCGCTGTTAAATTATTAGGATTTAAGTTTTAAAAAGGCGAGTACCCCCAAGTTTTAAAAGGATGAGAGGGTGAGTGGAGGGAAAGTGTGCATTCAGTTTTGGTCCACAATGATGTTTATATTTCCATTGTTCTGCTAGGTTTCATCGCTTACAGACAGGTTTAAGGGCAGCTACAAGGAGTGGTACCCCACTGAGTACGGAGCAGCACCCCGCCCGCCACCCAGTCCCCAAGTCACACCTCCCCGTGGGGGAACTTCCCTCCCTGGCTGTACCAGCACAAACTTGAGCAAGCCCTACAGCTTCATTCCTCCCTCCCACTACGGATGGTGGGACGCCTGGCCACATCCCACTCTGGGGGAACCCTAGGCAGATCGGCGGGCGCCGAAGCCCCACGTCCCGCGCGGACTTCTCGTCCAGGAAGCACAAACATGACCCCGAAAACGCACCATGTTCTTCGACCGGAAGCCGCTGGCTCGCGCCACTCCCTACTGCACATGCGCGAAGCCAAACGCCAAAGGGAAGGCGCCGGGCTTGCTGGGCGGGAGTTACCGGAAGAGCGAGACTCTCTCGTCTCGCGAGAAGATGAAATGGGCAGGGGAGGCGGGACCGAGGCTGGAGCGTTACCAGGGAAACAGCTCTCGGATTTGTGGCTCCCGCTCTTCTGTGAGGAGAAAGCTGGGCAGCAAAATTCAGATCTGGTTCTGAACCCGCAGTAAAAAGTAATCATTGTAACAAGCTGAATTTCTATTTAGTAATATAGTTTTAGCTTCCTCAGGGCATTTAAAGTAGATTTTATTAACCAGAGTGGCTAATTGTACGCTTCAGGGTGCGTGGTAAATGTGTCCACACACCCTCCGCAACGACAAAACACTTCTCACCTTCTGTGTTAAGAAAAAATAAAGTGTTCTGACCCGATGTAAAATTGTAAATATCCATGTAATGAGGGTGCAGTAATAAATACCAAAATGTGTTGTTGCTAGTGGTTTTGAGGTGAAAAAAGAAAAAGTCTTTCAGTGCATATTGGTTGTAAGAATTTCTGATCCTGAGGAAAAGGCTCATTATGGAGGTCAGTTTGGTTTTATTTAACAAATACAAACGGCTACAATGTGCCACTGAGCCCTTCGCGGGGCCGTAAAAGTAAGAGCTCCCAGGTTGTTGCCAGGAGGAGCTCAGCCCCAGGGAGGAGGGCAGGTGCACTAGGGGTGCAGGTGAGTTGAATGGCCGCAGATGAAGGGCGTTGGGCCCAAGTGCCCAGGAACTTTCTAGACTAGGCGAGGAGGGCTTGAAGCACACTGCCAGGGGCCAGGGTGTGCAGGCACCCTCCCTTGAGGAAGCAGGAAATTGTGTCCCTACCAAAAGCATTAGCCCGTGTCACAACAAGCTACTGGACTGTTACGTCGTCACATGCATCCCAATGACCCAAATTTTTCCTAAAATGTTCCTAAAGTGAAAGGGAGGAAAATGAAGTTTTCTCATGGTTTTGCATAATAATGAAAACCTGTAGGTATATTATGCTCTTAAGGATCTAATAGGCTTTTTTAAAGAGGGATTTTTACATTGCCTTAGCAACAATGGTGTTTTGTTCATGTTACATTTAGACATGAGCTAACTTAAAAATTGTTCAAAATGTAGTCAGTTTTAAGAGGTTATAAGTCAAAGTAAGAAAACACATCCTCTCCATTTCATATCTGATTCTTCCCTGGGAAGAAATTGTATAGGTTTGTTGTGATTCACAACAGACACATCTATATTTACTTTCTTAATGTAATCTCTATATAATCAATGTCATATAATCTTAATTAAATTTACACTTTTTGTGCATTTATTCAAAGCTTAAATACGAACATTACTACCAAATTTGATATTTACTATTATGTTTTAGTTTGCTAGGGTTGCTATAACAAAATGCCGCAGTCTGGGTGACTTAAGCAACAAAAAATGTGTGTGTGTGTTTTTTGTTTTTACAGTTTTGGAGGTTGGAAGTCCAAGATCAAGGTGCCAGCAGGACTGGAGGTAGGCAGGTGCACTAGGTGGGCAGGTGAGATGGGGCACATTTTTCTCCTGAGGGCTGTTTCATTGACTTGCAGTGTCCTCACTTGGCCGAACCCCTGATGTCTCTTCTTTCAAAGGACATTGGAATATGGCCCTATCCTTATGACTTCATTTATTTATTTATTTATTTATTTATTTTTTTATAGAGGAATGTTTTTATTTATTTATTTGTTTGTTTGTTTGATTATACAAGCACTGGGTACAGTCAGAAGCGCGGGAGGGTGAGAGAATTCACCAGAGCCAGAGCGGGGAGCAGAGCAGGCAGAAGGACCGAAGTACACTGCTGAGGGGAGCAGCGGGCGGCAGGAGAGGTCTGCGCGCCATGTGGGACCCTCCTTCGGTGGCCGGGGAGCAGCCGGGGATCGAACCGGTGCCGCAGAGGCTGCGGGCAGCTTCGCAACCCAGCGCTCAACCGCTGCGCCACCGGGGAGACCCCTTATGACTTCATTTAACCTTAACTACCTCTTGAAAGGCTTTCTGCCCAAATATACTCAAACTGGCAGTTCAACATGCAGATTCTGGGAAACACAATTCCATCTAAAACCCATCAGAACTATGTAGGCCAATTTACAGTATTATGATACAAATTGAAGAAACAAACCAACAAGCTGAATGACTACCTCAGAGACTTTCAATTTTAAAGCCACAACAAATACCATATATGCAAGTTTCAGAAAAAAATTAAGGCAGAATACACTTTATTGAGATATGTGGCAAATAGCAAACTTTTTCATAGAAGTAGTTTAGATATCTCATCCAAAGAAATCCAAGAGCTATTGTCAGTTGTGTCATAGTTGCTGAAGTGTATGTCACAATAGGTTGCCAAGGAAGTTGTCATACACATGGAGTGGAGTGCTTCCCACACATCTTCATCCCTTTGAGTATGTTTTATTTTCGAAGCCAGAAGTCATCATGGGGGACCTTTTTTCCTTATTTTGGCACGTGGATCCTCCCCCTATTCCTTTAAGTTTTTCCATGCCAAGTCAGGATTATGAATGCCGGAAAGATGACTCTTGTGGAACAATAGGGAGCTTCCTGCTATGGTATTTTGTCATCATATTGATCCTGATGGCCTTGTCTCGAGCTTCTGTCTGGGTAGGATATCCTTTTTCATTAAAAAAAAAGTATATATTAGGGAATTTTCCATACTATATGTTTACTTTGATGTAGCTGCTTTTTATTTTAAAGATTTATTTTTGTTTGTTTATGCATAGAGGAACTGGGGTGTAGGCTGGAGGTACAGGATGGTGAGAGGATTCACCAGAAACAGAGTGGGGAGCAGAACAGGTGGATCTACTGAAATACACTGCTGAGGGGAGCAGCCAGTCAGACGAGAGGTCTGTTGCACCAAGTGGCTTAGCTCCTTCACAGGGCATGGAACTTTTGTCACAGTGCCTGGTGATAGCTTGATAGGGCTGAGACTTTCACCCCTGTGCCGCCTGGGAGACCCAATGTAGCTACTTTTTAAAAGTTTGTTTTGTAATTTTAAAAACAATGCAGTCTCATTCTAGAGAACCCAAAAGTTAAGTAAAGAATGAAGAGGAAAGTTAAAACTACTATAACCCTATTTCCTAGGGGTAATACTATTAATGTTTTGGAGCATGTCCTTTTAGTATTTCCCTTTTTCTCTATCCAAATATATTGCTCTTCATCTTGCTTTCTATCTTTGATCTTACATGTTTGACCTTATATCATTTACAGTCTTACCCTTGCTTTTTAAAAATCTAAATATTTTGTAACACTTCCCCAAATTATATGCACACTACAGCATTCTTTTTTTTTTTTTTTAAAGATTTATTTATTTATTTATACAAGCACTGGGTGCAGTCAGAAGCGCGGGAGGGTGAGAGAATTCACCAGAGCCAGAACGGGGAGCAGAGCAGGCAGAGGGACCGAGGTACACTGCTGAGGGGAGCAGTGGGTGGCAGGAGAGGTCTGCGCACCCATGTGGGACCCTCCTCCGGTGGCTGGGGAGCAGCCGGGGAATCGAACCGGTGCTGCGGAGGCTGCGGGCAACTTCGCAACCCAGCGCTCAACCACTGCGCCACCAGGGAGGCCCCACACTACAGCATTCTTAATGACTGCATAATTTTCTGTCTTGTGAATATACTGTAATTAATGTGCAGTTTGAGATACTTACCTTGTTTGCAGTTTCTCTATATGCTATGTGATATTGGGTAAACTTCCTTACTGGTTAATGAGCTCCAAATTCCTTTTGTAATTTTAATAAGATAAATATAGGATCTGGGATTTTATAATAAAGCAGGGCATTCTGCACTGAGAATAAGATGCAGAACTAAACTAAACAGGACTAACCACCACTCTCAACCACCTCTTCATAGAAGAATATGCCATCCTCTTAGGAATAAGATAGCTTACTTTATCAGCATTAGAATGTTTCAACATATTATGAGTAACTGAGCTCTTGTAAATTGCTGACATGGAATCCTTATTAGCTGTTAGTACCAGGCTGATGATTAATCAAACCACCATCATTTGGTATTATAGTCAGAGCACTGGACTGGCAATGGGCAGCTAGGCTGGTGCACTTATCAGCTCAGGATGGAGAGAAGGTTTGTTATTGTCTTTGCCAGATGGATTCCATTATAATAATCAAAGACGCTTCCCCTCACCACATCCTCCCCCCAAAGAAGTTTCATTTAAAGTCCAAATGCTTCTTTAGGTAGATATTTTGCCAAAAGGAGATTTAGAATAGCGATAGCTTATACACATGTCTTACACTCCCTAGCTAAGTATATTGAATTTGTCTAACCTGGCAAGAAATGCTACTTTAGAAAATTAACGAAAAATTGAAATTGATTCCTGGCAATTTCATCATGAAGACCACTACCGAGGTCTATGCTATTCCTTTGCTCCTTGCTTGCATAAGCTCTTTGGAGTTACAGAGTCCTGAACCTCAAGGACCTTAAAAAAGCATAAGGTCCAGTCTCCCATTACAGGCAAGTGAGACTTAGTACCCACCCCCCTGCCTTTTTTTTTTTAATTGATAAGGCCCAAAGAAATTAAGTGATTTATCCAATGTCACACAAGTGGTTAGTGACAGAGCGAAATAGACCCAGGCTTCCTGCCATATTACTTGTTTGCTTCAAAGCATAGTTCCAAATGTTGAATCAAAACTCTTCAGTGCTGATTAAAACCTTAATTATCTTAGAGGTTTGTCTTTCACTTTGTATCCTTATGGCAGCTACAACTGGCTGGACTGCTGCTTCTGAAGGGTCCCAGATTGGAAATCTGAGAACCATATGAGAGCTAGTCAAGAAGGATGGAATTTCTCCTTTACTTTGAACTTCATTTTCTCTGCTTAACTCAGTCTTTATTTACAAACCTCGAAGTAATGGTAAAAGCGTGATGGAAATGTGGTGGTAATTATCCTCAAACATGAAGCACGCTAATTTCCTCTGGATTTGCCACTTTTAAAGATGCCTTTACCCTTTTGCTTTCAGATGATAAGTACTATATTTAGCTTATATGTTTGTTTAGTGTTTATTCAGACTGTCAGTGCTGGGATTTTTCCTGACCATACCAGTCCAAACTCCTCATTTGCATATGTGGAAACTGAGGTGTTATCACAGAGTTGCTTAATGGAAGAAGGCAGAACTGTCCCCCCATCCCCACACGATGCTATCCTGTCCTTCGGGGAAATACAACTGCTGTTTTAGCTCACTGAGTCACACACATACACAGTTCATAAAATGCTTTGGGTAACCACAGTTCATATGATTTCACTTAGCTTGATGTAAAAATCTTTCTTTTGATTTTGTGATTATATTCTGATTAGACATCAAATCAAATATGAAGACTTTCTGTGAGATTGATATAAACAAAGTGTTTTTTTTTTTTTTTTAAGATTTATTTTTTATTTATTTATACAAGCACTGGGTACAGTCAGAAGCGCGGGAGGGTGAGAGAATTCACCAGAGCCAGAGCGGAGAGCAGAGCAGGCAGAAGGACCGAAGTACACTGCTGAGGGGAGCAGCGGGCGGCAGGAGAGGTCTGCGCGCCATGCGGGACCCTCCTCTGGTGGCCGGGGAGCAGCCGGGGATCGAACCGGTGCCGCAGAGGCTGCGGGCAGCTTTGCAACCCAGCGCTCAACCGTTGCGCCACCGGGGAGGCCCAAACAAAGTGTTTTTAAACACGTTCCCACTTACACTGCAAAAGCAGGCGTTATAGAAAATAGGGAAATAGGAAAGTAGAAAAAATAAAGTTTGCTCTAGATTAAATAGGAACACCCACTGATGATTAACTATTAAGTTTATAAACTAATTTCTCTCTCTCTCTTTTTTTTAAAAGATTTATTTATTTATTTGTGCAAGCACTAGGTATAGTCGGAAGTGCGGGAGGGTGAGTGGATTCACCAGAACCAGAGCAGGGAACAGAACAGGCAGACTGATGAAATACACTGTTGAGAGGAGCAGCGGGTGCGGCAGGAGAGGTCTGTGCGCCATGTGGGACCCTCGCCTGCGGCCGGGGATCGAACTGAGGCTGCAGAGGCTGTGGGCAGCTTCGCAGCCCAGCAGTCAACTGCTGCGCTACCAGGGGAGGCCCTATAAACTAATCTCTTAATAATCATCTCGATGTGTATTAAATTGAAAATATTCCAGACCTGCCACAAAAGCATTTTTTTAAAAAGAGAATGGTAGCAGTAAGGAAAAGAAAGAGGTACCTTGTTAGAGATAATTACCTAGCATTGGCGAGATAGATATATAGAAAGGACTGGGCCAAGGAGTATAGATTGCAATTATGAATATCCAAGTATGGCACTTTCAACCCAAAGGAGTGTGACTTTCTATGTAAATCCATTTTCCCCAGTTGTAGACAGTTTAAAGAATTAGAAGGGGGCCTCCCCAGTGGCGCAGCGGTTGAGCGCTGGGTTGCGAAGCTGCCTGCAGACTCTGCGGCGCTGGTTCGATCCCTGACTGCTCCCCAGCCACCGGAGGAGGGGGTCCTGCATGGCGCGCAGACCTCTCCTGCCGCCCGCTGCTCCCCTCAGCAGTGTGCTTCTGTCCTTCTGCCTGCTCTGCTCCCGGCTCTGGTTCTGGTGAATTCTCTCACCCTCCAGAGCTTCTTACTGTACCCAGTGCTTGTATAAATAAATAAATAAATCTTAAAAAAAAAAAAATTCAAGTTAAAAAAAAAAGAATTAGAAGGAAAAACGTATATTGCCACTCAAAGTCAATCTTTGCTAATACTTGCATAGATTCTTTAAAATCTGTTCTTTCATATTTTTAGCTAATTTGTGATAATGCTGCCTATGCAAGTTTGCAGCTTGATTTTTAACAAAACTTTCTTTTCTCATGTTATGATCCTTTTACTATCCTGGGATGACTATTTTTCTGTGCACCAAACTTTCTCTCTTCGGAGGGTTACTTCCTGGTGATAGATTTCTAGAAGAATATTTATGTGTCAAAAAGTATTAGGAATATTTCTAACATTTTTGAAACATTCTGAAAGAGTTATTTTATATTTGTGTCTTTGGCAAAGACATTTTCAGCACCAAAGACTTACCTGGAAAATGGGACAAATATTTTTTGAGTGTTGGGGCAAGAATAACTGAAAATGGAACTATTCAAAGAAATCTATTTCTCCTGGTTCCCATTTTCACAGATAGTATATTATGGTTGCATTTTGGAGGGGCATGTCTAAAAGATTTAGGAGATATTTAGCCTAGGAATTCAGGTAAAGATTTTAAAGAATTATCAATCAGGTGACCAGATAAAAAATGCCCTTTAAAAAATAATTTTAAACTAATCCTAGTATGATAAAATCTGTTTGTAAATGTCATTTCTCTATAAATGTGAGTGCAAGAAAACTTTTTGACCTATAACTTTTGATTAGTATTATTTTCTCTGAAGTTTTTGTTCCATTTTACTTGCTTCAAATATTTTGGTAGAGTCTGCTACCAGAGCCTGGTCTTCTTTAACGGACATCAGAAGTGAGATGACTATAACAAAAACTCAATAAATATTTATTGAATTGCACTGAATGTTTAAAATAAGACATTATAAAAAGGGTCTAGGGTAATTATGTTTCTTAACAAGTAAATGTGAGTGAAAAGCAGCCAACTGACATCACTATCACTAATTTATATTTCTGAAACAGATGTCTGAGAAGAAAAAGGATGAAGACAGTGGGGCAAGCACTTCAGTAAGTAAAGGTGAGAGCCAGGACACATGGTATTGGACTATGATGATAGAACTATGTGTTGAGTGTGAAGTAAATAACAAAGGTGAACACTGCAGAGATTGGTTCCCCATGCCTGTGGTGGCCCAGTTGGTGGGGTCCTTCCTTTAGAGCAGAAAGATAGCTTGGCTGCTTTAGCAAAATTATTCTGAAAGAGTTATTTTATATTTGTGTCTTTGGCAAAGACATTTTCAGCACCAAAGAGTGGGACACTTACCTGGAAAATGGGACAAATATTTTGTGAGTGTTGGGGCAAGAATAACTGAAAATGGAACTATTCAAAGAAATCTATTTCTCCTGGTTCCCATTTTCACAGATAATATATTATGGTTGCATTTTGGAGGGGCATGTCTAAAAGATTTAGAAGATATTTAGCCTAGGAATTGAGGTAAAGGTTTTAAAGAATTATCAATCAGGTGATATTATCAATCAAGATGTTATAAATTACTGATAGGTAGAACTCAAGTTCTCTTTTTATTCTGTAGCATTCTCCCTTCACACAACTTGCCTTTCACATGCCTTTATTGTTAGTTTTATTAGAGACTTGTGAACTGTATGTTACATCTTTTTCAATAACCTATATAGCCAGTGGTATGCTGGTAAGTACTTAACAATGGATTCTCCAAAAATGTGTGTATACATATATTCTTAATTTTAAAAAATGTAAAGGGCATATATCACACAATTTTAATTTTTTATTATTTTTATTTATATATTTTACATCATTATTAATTTTTGAATAGTGTCTGATTTCTCCTCTCAGTTGCTGTCCCCATAAAATTCCCACCACCAAGACTCCTGTGAACCGTTACCATAGACTTGTGTCCTCTTCCCTCCTGTTTTGATTCCTCTCCCTCCCCCTCCCTTGCTGAATCTCTGATTTATAGTTTGCCTGCTGGTTTTGTCTTTTTTTTCCCCCTGATCCCTTGTATGGTTTCCCTATGTTCCTCCTATAAGTGAAACCATCTGATACTTTTCTTTTCCTTCTGACTTACTTCACTGAGCATAATCCCTACCGGCCCCATCCATGTTGCTGCAAATGGCGTAAGTTTATCTTTTTCAATTGCTGAGTAGTATTGCATTGTATCACACAATTAAAAAGGAAGAAAATATGTAACACTCTGTTTAGTTCCATATAGAAAACTGATTCTCACATAATACTTTCCATGATTTTTGCCAGACCTGTGCAGCCCTAAGCCAACCTATGACTGCAATTGATGAACAAGAGTAGATCATTCCCTTTAAGTTCAATGAAATTTACTTACCTTTCAGTTAAGGAGTAAGATAAAAGTGAAACAGGAAAATATATATTGGAATTTAATTTGGTTGTCAATGATGTGAGTGACTTCTTTTCTGACTTGTATGGGTATAGAATACACTGGAAGACTTTTCTCATTTCTAGATGTCTTTCACAATGTAGTGGCTACAGGTCTGACACTTTTCAATGTAATCTATGTTGGTAACATGTTCTCTATCTTTTTCTTAAGCTTAGCCAATCAACAAAACCATAAAGCAAGTCCAATTTTTAGCATTTGTGGATTTCCATCCCATAAAACTGATTTCAAGTTTCTAACATTTGTCACTGAACATAGAGTTGGAAAGAGATGCACTAAAGCACATCATTTTTAGTATTTCTAATATTCAGGTACAATAGACATAAATAGCTTCAAGAGAATACATTATAATAAAATGTAAAAATAATTAGGAAGTGATGGGTTTTGAGTACTTATTATGTTTCTTCATAATAAATTGTTTAATGGTAAGTTTGCATAATTTAATTTTTACTAATGGCTCATAAAATTACTGAAAGTTTAAACATCAGTTCTGTGAGCTACTGGTACAGGCCATCCCTGATACACCATTGTATAAAGAAAAGATCCTTTTTAGTTTCTGATACCCAAATCACATTCATGTACACACTTGAATCTTTAAGACTTCAAGGCAAAGGAAATAAAAGCTATTTCCCTGGAAAAATTTGGAGTCTTTTCCCTTGATCTAATATTGGGGTTCGGATCACAAAACTTTAAAAAAAATATACCAAATATCTCTCTGACCCTTCTTGTGTCTAGGAGATTTGGTATGGTATTGGAAACTGCAGTGAGCAGCCATTATCTGCAAATGAATGGAGAAAAGTGGTGACTTGGAGAAAAATAGTGATTAAGAATGAGCCCATACATCCATAGGCTTATTAGGTAATGTGACATTGTAGTAACCAATAATGTGCCTAACTTATTGATTTGTTTTGTTGGTTGTTAGCAAGTAAAGATTCTTCCCATAAACGATCAAACAAAGATGGTGCCTGGGACTCTTCACAAATGATGAAAAAATCAAAGCTGAGCCAACTTACCCCTGTGACTAACTCAGAAGTGGCTTTGGTCAATGCCTATCTCGAACAAAGACGAGTCAGCCGCCATTTTCAGTTCAGCCAGGTGAATCAGACCCATGACAGCGATACTACTGAGTGTGACAGTGACGAATCTAACTCTGGAGCCTCCTCGTGGAAGGAGAGTGAAAGTGAACACCACCTACCCCCAGTCCATGTTAAGAAGAGAAAAATAGTTCAGAGGCAAAAGAATCTGGGAACTCACCAAACCAGGGACAGGCCCTGTCTCCACTGCAAAGCCATGAGAACCAATGAATGGTTGATACGCCATTTCCTTCAAAACACTTCAGTAACAACTCCCATAAGAGGAGATATTCCAGAGGAAAATTGTTTACCTGACATTGACAAAAAATACCAGTAAATTTGGAATTTTATTTGCTACTTACCTTACTTGAAGCCAAATGAAGAGATGAATGAAACATGAAAAATCACCAGAGCTCTAGGTGAGGAGGCTTTTACAAAAAAAAAAGTCTTTCTACCAAAAACAAAAACATACTTTGAACCCAAGCGGTAAAATTTCAGATAATTATTTGTCCCAAAACAGGCCAGTGAATTTGTTTATGGCATCATTGGAACATCCAAGTTCTGTTCCTGCCATTGTTTTTTATTCAAAAGAGCCCAAGACAGATATTTTATGCTTTGAGTGTATGTATTTTGTTTTTGTCTGTATACAAATAAGGAAGCTCTTTGAAAATATACTTACGTTCAGAAACCATTTCAGTTTATTCATGTCTTTATTATCTGACTGACTAAATGAATTAGGTGAATGGAATTATGAAATAGAATTGACCATATTCTCCAAGGCCATATTTTCAGGTGACTCTCCCAAAGTGGTATTGTTATGCAAGTGTCAGCTTCGTGCTGGTGAGGAGGAGCAGAGAAGCTCAAAGCTGGAACAGGTCTGATTCCTAGGGTAGACCAAGGAGCAGGAGGCAGCATTACCAGAGGGGCAGCTGGGCTGTTGGCTGTCCGTGGTTATTGTCCACAGGGCACGGCAAGTATTAAAGAAAAAATCATTCTGACACTTAGTAAAATGCCAAGAAACACTTAATTCAACATTATTGTAACAGGGGTCAAATGTATTGCAAGAGGGGCAAGAAATGGAGATCATCTCCAAATATGGCAAGGAAATAGGGGATTTGATAACCAAGGAACTGTTGCTAAACTGACCTAGCACCATTCTTTCTGAACTAGCCAGGCCAAAGACAGGACAGACACCAAAGCTGAGATCTGGTTAAGAAGAGACCTCAGAGGAGCTTGACTAAAGGTAGGTCAAATAGAGAGACTTTGTCACAAGTTAATCTCAACCTAGACAGAGTTAGGACTGGGTTTTCTAGTTTAGTGGAGACGGCACTGGTGGGGAATTCAGGCAAGCCTAGATAGATGAGTTGTCATTGGAGTTCTTTCTTCCGATGAATGACAGAACCCCATCTGGGAAATGAAACAAGATCCAGATCTCAGGAGAGTTGGCAGAGGAGATAAACAGCAGGGGTTCTGGTCACAGGGCAAAAGTTCAAAGATGGGATTAAGACTTGGGGAAGGATTTAGGTAACAAAGTATAAAGACTGCAGCTTCCTACCAAGAAGTTAGACTTTTGTGGGGGTGGGAGAAGAAATCACAGAGACTTCAGGCTTAGGGATCTCCATAGTAGCAGGTTTCTTAACTGACTGCAACAAAGAGAGATTGGAGGGCAATATGGGAACTCCACATTGGAACTAAGTCAGTAGAATCCAGGACATGGGGTGACAATTCTGAGCCCATTTGTGGAGACCTGTCTTATTCAGATCACCTCAGTACTGGAACAGATCTGAAGCTACAAGTGAAAAACAGGACAACTTCAAGATTCAGGTCAGATATTATCAGCCTTTTCATGAAGACTTCCTTTACTCTTTGACAACCCCCTCCATTTTGCTTTCCACAAACAGAACTTATTGCACCCTTCCTCATGATCCAGCATAACTTGAAAAGTTCTCTATCTCAGTACTCTTAACATTTTAATGAATGTGCTTAATGAATGTATTTGTAAGTCTGTCATATATGTGTATATATACACACGTATGTATATGTGTGTATATCATGTCTATATGTATGCATATGCATACATATATATCCTTAAAGTAGAATTCATGATTTATGTTTGCATCGGTGTGACCTAGCACAGTACTAGACAATATGAAAGATAAATAATGCAGTTGAGTCAATGTACAAAGTGACTCTTGAATGCAAAAGGGAAGAGCAACCTGAGGCCAATATCTAAAATTTAGTGAATGATTCTGAGATTTCTAGCTTGATACGATCAAAATACTAAAGTTGTCTTACTTATTAAATAGGCAACAAAACCAAAACTCTAAAAAACAAAAAGCCAAACTAAAATTATCAACATGAGTTGCAGAGGCAGGATTTAGATCCAAGTCATCTGGCTTCAGAATTTGGGTTTTTAATTATTATGATCTTAGCTATTCTCTGAGAATGGAAGATCCTGATTTTAAGACAATTTCATCATCCTCCCACCCACACAGCCAGCCATAAATGATGTCCAAGCAGATATAGTATTACCAGGAAAAGGATGACAATTGCCATTTTCTAAACAACAGAGTAAGAACCCATGACCTAAATGTTTTGCTTGTGGATCTAGGATATAACCAATGACACTATTACCTGAAGAAGCATTTATATTAAAAATTGCTACTTTTCCTGGTCTTAACCAAGGGCCTAGAATAGGCCACAATGGGGGAAAAGGAGGGAGATGGCTGGCTGTAGGAAAAATGAATCAGGGTTGAACTGAACCAGGGACTCTAAATATGAGGGGACACTGTAATCTGTGAGTACATGAAACCGAAAACAGGCCAAAAATAGCTAGAAGGGTATCCAAAACTAAGAGAAAGGCACAGACTTAGAGGAAAAAGGCAATGATATGGTAGTATGAGAAGCAAAAGCATGGCCAGCACTTGGTTCTGGCTTGTTGAGTGAGGTACAGAATGGGTGAATTGGGAGAGAGGTCATGAAACCAGGACTGCAAACACTAGTCATGCCAGGGTGTTACTTTTTATTCAGAGCCTGGTGTGGACTATCAGACAGCAACCCCCACCCCCCCGCCCTCCGCTTCAGCCTATCTTTGCTTAAAGGGATAAATTAGTAAAACTGATTTCTAACAGTAAAAGGTAGTAACCTCTTTGGGAGGCTTGCTTGAGGGAAGACATGAAATTCTTGGTCTATCTGTGGCTCATGCATACAGCTATGTAACCAGAACTGACCTCTGTGGCAATGTCCACCTACATCAAACAACACAATTCTTGCCTGGTACTGGGTTGCGGGGAAAGTTCTAATTAGCTGGATGTGGTAAGGAATGAGTATGCACATAGGAAGTGTTTGGAGAGGGGTTGGAACATGGGGATGCTGGGAAGTATGTGCCAGGGTAGACGGTCTCAAATTCTGAACCATTATCTGCCGTTATAGGACTGGTGGTTTGGTCTTGGTGGGAGGAGAGCTGAGCCAGTAGGTTAAATCTAAACCAATAACCACAATAATAGTGTTAGGGGGAAAAGGATGTCCCAAAGCTAATTCCATATAGGCTTTGTGGACTCCACCCCCACCCCAGGTCAAAGCCAAAGACACTGGGAACTCCAAATCCCATCACCACCAAAGGGAAGGTGGCTGGGACCTGAGGGTGGGGTTAAGCAGCCAGGTGGATATAAAAGGCAGACACGTGGGCTTTGGGGATCCCCCATTTTTGGCTCTCCGCCAGCTCGCAGCGTCCGGCCAGCTCTGAGAGTGACTTTGGGTTTCCAGGTCGTCGGATCCGGTAGGACGCATTAAAGACTTTATTTCCCTATTTTCTCCCTGAGTTGTACATTTTCCTTATTTCCTTTTCTCTTGTAAATAAACCTTTTATTAACCTTTTGTGTGTGTCTGTAGTAGAGTATTCATGAGTCCCTTGTAAGCGCGCGGGTGAGGACCCACAGTCAGGAACCCCGTTTAATATCGGGGTTGCTCTATAACAGCTTTTATAGGACTGGTGGTTTGGTCTTGGTGGGAGGAGAGCTGAGCCAGTAGGTTAAATCTAAACCAATAACCACAATAATAGTAGTGATAATCAGTAGCATTCGGAGAGCTTGTCATATGCCAGGCCCCACAGTAAGCATTTCATAAGGAATATTTACTTGTCACAAGTGTGCAGAATAGGTGTTTCCCCAAATTCTCAGACAATTTAACTGAGGCTTCTGAAAATCAAATAACCTACCCAAGATCACACAGCAGGCGAGAGTGTGGTATCTGGGTCTGTACTTTTGTCTGACCACAAAGACTTGGTATTTAGCCACATTCTTAATTGAGAGCAACTTGGAAAACCAAACACCAAATGCCAAAGCGAGTCCAGAGAGACTGTTATAGGACAGGGAGAGGGGTAGCCCAAGCCCCGCAAACCTGCCTATTCTAAATGGGTTCTGCCATCCGCCGCATCAACACAAAACATAGGAGACTTTAATGGGAAGGAACTTTAATAAAACTAGGAAACAATACAGGTAAGGCAAAGAGTCTAGTTTCTAAATGAAGCATCCAGAGTTACCCATCCCCTCGTGGGTAAAAGTCCATCCAAATGGGATTGGCCCAGAGCAAGGCCCCAAAGCCTGCTACACATCTAAAGCATCTTCCAGTGGGGACCCACAGAAAAGGGTCACAAACAACTGGACAAGCCCGGAAGGAAAAGAGCAAAATCAACATCAAGATAAAAGCTGCCATTGTCACCTCCCCATGGGTCTCACCCACGTCTGTGTCACCCAGTCCACAACCCAAAGACAAGCGCAGTTTCTTTACGTGTCTCTAGGCTCCATGCGCCTCCTCCAGGTCTCCTGGCTCCATCCTGCTTCCTTCCTTCCTCAGTCTCTTCTGCAGCTTCTCCTCTTCCTGCTCAGCTCCACCCTTCCTTGGGTGGGGCAGGGAACCTGGAACCTCCCCCTTTCCTGGGGACCACCCTGTTACAAGACCAGAGAAGGACTGTTAATGGAAGATGGACCTAAAAGTCCGAAACTGAAAAGAGATGGTGTTACAGGCTCTGGCCTGAAAGAGTGGGTCCTTTGCCCTCGAGGGAAAGAATTCACCAGAGAATGCAAGGTGTAGTTGAACCAAGCAAGGTTTTATTAGCGACTAATGCATGAGGGAGCCAGTGCAGGAAAGGCCTGGCTACCCGAAGCGCGTTAGAGGAGGCATTTAAAGGGTAGGTCCATGAGGCAGGGGCAGAGGAGAGCAGCAACATGGCTTGTTCTGGGTTGGGCTACACCCGAGCATGCACAGTTGGCTTACGTTCCAACTATGCACGTGGGCCCTTGGCCTTCTCCCTCCAGGAAACTAAGATAATCATTAGTCAGGATCCAACGCTTTTGTCTGTTACGGTGCCTCATGGTCAGTGTGGGGGCCAGACTTTTTGGAGTGGCTGTCTAGACCATGACTCAGTCCACCTGGTCAGACAGTACTTGGGGCAGATCATCCTACCGGCTGGCAGTTTCTCTTACCCAGGCTGTCTCCCTGTGACTTACTTCGCCAAGTCAGAGGGGCATCACACCTGACTGGGGCGGCTGGACTGCGTCAGCTCTCCTCATCTGCAGGGGAAACCTGACCAGCTTATAAGGCACAAACTCAGGGTGGTGGTTTGGAAAAAGGGAGAAATGGAATCCTAGCCAGGAGCGTTGATGAGGATAGGAATGAGCTTGGTGT